GCACTATGGTTGTGGAGGGCTGGTTGCAACTGCAGCACATGTGACTTGGGACGTCTGGAACTCTGTTCCTGACTGCCTAATGTCCATTCTGTGCAAAAATTACATTTGTCATCACCACGCACTGCACGCTGAATACAGGTGTGTTAACGTTCTACCTTTGCAGGCAGCTCTAGGTCTCCCCTCCCTCCATGCACTCCCTCAGAGCTCACCTCTCCATTTTTCCATTTTTGTTTAGTTTTTTTTTTTAATAATCCCCCTTCCCTGTCCACCTCCTACTCCTCCCGTGACTCCCCACAGCGGCTCAGAGCACATGCATTCTGCGAAAACAGACCAGTCAAATGCATTAAACCACTGAACAGCATGGCGTGAGTCAAGTCACAATGTGGAAACAAGCCATTGCTGGATTCAAGATAAGTTTAAAAGTAGTTAAAAAGTTAATCATAACAAAAGGGTGAACATAACGCCCAACACATTACAAACTATAAAACCTATAATGTTAGAAAGGGTTATACAGGTTGTTGTTTTTTTGTTTTTTTTACTAAAGTAAGAATTCAAAGTGAGTTTTTTAAATTTAGGACTAGAGTAGTCAAACTGGAAGCAAAGTTGACCTATGGAATTTTTCCATTTTGTCTATTTTGACCTTGAACTTGACATTCACCATGAATTCACTTTAAATTCTCACTTTAGTGAATACCCTCACGGTAACCCTTTTATTAGTAAACTGGGTTACTGTGAGGGTTATTCACGGATAATTGACAGTATAAGAATAAACTTCATGTTCAAATATCTGAGATGAAAAAATAACTGACGGGATAATTCACAAAACATTGGATCTGGTTAAAATGGCAAAATCGTACTTTTCGCATCAGAACCCTATACAGGATGAACTAAAGTTCAGTGTAGAATTTGACAGGTAGATAACTTATTTGTTAGTAGTAACATGTTTTTGCTGCAGGTACATTTTATAATTGAGTCTTGGGAGACTCATCATGGGTAATTTCACGAAGGAACAATACATTTAAAAAAGTGGAATTTTATATTCAAAATGGCAGGTCTATTATTTTGTCACAAACCACTTCAGTGTTAGATATGGACCCTCATTAACTAGGATTTGGAAACTAATGCATTTTTGCATTCCTCAAACTTTTTGAGGAAACGGTTTCTTTGATTAACTTATTGGACCCTACTTCTTCAAAACTGACGCTGGTGGTGCTTTGACCATTACTGATGTGAGATATGGGAATATGATTGAAATTTTTTTACATCCTCTAGTGACTAGGGAAGTGGACAGGGAAGGGGGATTATTAAAAAATAAAAAATAAACAAAAATGGGAAAATGGAGAGGTGAGCTCTGAGGGAGTGCATGGAGGGAGGGGAGACCTAGAGCTGCCTGCAAAGGTAGAACGTTAACACACCTGTATTCAGCGTGCAGTGCGTGGTGATGACAAATGTAATTTTTGCACAGAATGGACATTAGGCAGTCAGGAACAGAGTTCCAGACGTCCTAAGTCACATGTGCTGCAGTTGCAACCAGCCCTCCACAACCATAGTGCAAATAGCTTTGTGCGGTATTTCTAGCAGAAACCCTGCACATACAGATTACTTCCTCCATGACCACTTCTAAATGCAGAAGCGGTTCCTATTTTTAAAGGACCACTATAGGCACCCAGACCACTTCAGCTCACGTACAGGGGAAGGGGCGGGAGTTAGGAATTGAAGCACCTGCGCGCTGCCGCAATGCATGCCTGGGAGGGGGAGGCCTGGCTGAGCGGACTGATCTGTATGCCGCTGGACCTGTGTTCTACCAGGCACTAGTGAGCAATAATGTAAGTGCTTTCGAGCGCCCGGTAAAATGGCCGGCGGCATACTCAAAATAATCTAACTTGTCAGGGCCGGTGCCCCCCTTAAGCAGTGCCCTAGGCGGCCGCCTAGTTTGCCTATAGGGAGCGCCGACCCTGGGGGGAAGACTCCCCCTCATACCTCCACCCATCAGTATTGGGTATGGGACTTTAAATGAAATAATGGAGTGTGAACAGATCACTGTACAACATCTTCCAACACCCATGGCCCAGATGTATGCCTATTCACTAGTCACAGGGGGGAAGGGTGTTGAAAGTGATCTGTCCACATCCCATTATTTATCCATCCACTGCCTACAAGTTAGGAAATTGAGGTGATTTCACCATTATTTTTCTGGCTTCATCCCTACTGGACGAGCATTTCTAATGACTGGGCAGCAATAGCTGCCAAATCATTAATTTTAATGTTTAGTAGATATGTTTCTACCTCCCACATCCTACTGGATGCATTTGGTCTCCAAATTTATAAAATCAGTGCTTTACAAATATTCAGACCTCTATGCTTTGTACAGGGTGGGCCAAAATTCAGAGTAGGGTTTAAGGAGTCAACAACCTTTTTTTTAATCAATGGACCAATTTCAGTGATATTACATACATATTAGAGATGTCGCGAACTGCTCGCCGAACTGTTCACGAACTGTCCGCCGGCGAACAATAGCGTGTTCGCGTTGGGCGAACATATACGTTTTCCGGTCCGCCCCCTATTCGTCATCATTGAGTAAACTTTGACCCGGAACCTCACAGTCAGCAGACACTTCCTGGGAGGGAGGGTCTGCTGCTGATTGGCTGGAATGTGTCTGCTGACTGTGAGGTTCCGGGCACTGCTTAAGGGGGTCACCGGCCCTGACAAGTTAGATTATTTTGAGTATGCCGCCGGCCATTTTACCGGGCGCTCGAAAGCACTTACATTATTGCTCACTAGTGCCTGGTAGAACACAGGTCCAGCGGCATACAGATCAGTCCGCTCAGCCAGGCCTCCCCCTCCCAGGCATGCATTACGGCAGCGCGCAGGTGCTTAAATTCCTACTCCCGCCCCTTCCCCTGTACGTGGGGAGAAGTGGGCGTGAGCATAATGTGCAGAAAAAGGAGGAAATGTGCAGAGACACGGCAGCCAGGCGCAGGGAATGAACAGCAATGAAGGTAAGGTAAGACAGAAAATGTGTGTAAGTCTGCTTCAGTCAGTATGTTTATGTATGTCAGTGTGTCTGTCTGTATGGGTCAGTGTCAGTCTGTATGGGTCAGTGTGTCTGTCTGTATGGGTCAGTGTCAGTCTGTATGCGGTCAGTGTTTGTCTGTATGGGTCAGTGTGTCAGTCTGTATGGGTCAGTGTCAGTCTGTATGGGTCAATGTGTGTGTCTGTATGGGTCAGTTTCAGTCTGATGGGTCACTGTGTCTGTCTGTATGGGTCAGTGTCTGTCTGTTTGAGTCAGTGTGTGTATGTATGGGTCAGTGTGTGTGTATGTATGGGTCAGTGTGTGTGTCTGTATGGGTCCGTGTGTGTCTGTATGGGTCAGTGTTTATGTCTGTATGAGTCAGTGTGTGTCTGTATGGGTCATTGTGTTTTTCTGTATGGATCATTGTATGTGTCTGCATGGGTCAGTGTGTCTGTATGCGTGTGACTGCATGGGTCAGTCTGTGTATATGAGACTGTGTCTGTCAGTCTACATGGGTTAGTGCGTGTGTGTCAGTTTGCATGGTCAGTGTATGTCTACTTGATTCAGCGGGTGTGTTAGTCTACATGATTGGGTGAAGCAAATGGGATGGCAAATTTGTTTTCACCTAGGGCGCCAAAAATGCTTGCACCGGCTTCCCCCTGTTATTTTGTAGTCCCCATCCCCAAGGATTTTCTAGCAACTGAGCAGCAGTGGCTGCCCAGTTATTAGTATTTCATGTTTAGTAGATATGTCCCCACCAAGGGAAGTCTAGAAAGTAAACTTGTTTGAGCATGGTCCTCATCAACGTATTGTTTCTGTAACATTTTGTAATCGTCTCATTTATTGTTAAATATCCCCCATAATATTGTACTCGCTGCGGAATAAGTGGGCACTATATAAATGCTAATAATACAACCTCCGTTATCGTAATCATATTGACTCCATTGACTCCTTATTTTTAAAACAACCCTTTACCTATAGGGTTTATTTGCTAAACACCAGATAGTGATTTCTTTCCAAATCAGCTGTTTTTAAATACATTTTATAATTTCTTTTTCAATACACTAAATTTTAGTTAATAAATTCCTCTGTGTCCTGCTGTAACATTTTAATAACTTCTATGTTATTAATTTTACTTAGTTTTTTTTAAAATCACTTAAAGAGGCACTGTTAACATCTGGGGACTTTGACGAATCCGCAAAGGCCCCCAATGGTGACATTGCCGCTGGGTGTCCAATAGCAGGAAGGCATGTAAACGTGAGATGTACTTACCTAAAGCCTGTCCCTTGCGGGCGCCGCCATCTTTGTCGTTCTGCTCCTCTAATTACTGCATTAAGGTCTATGGAGGATCCCACAAGGTCCTGAGATCCTCCACAGACAGAGCCAATATATTGCAGCCGTCTATCTTTATGAAATACTAATTTTTCATGGTGGTGGTGACAATGCTGCTTTAATACTTACTTTACCATCACTTATTTATATAGTGTCAACATATTGTGTGGCGCTCAATACACTATGTAAACAGTATTATATCACAGGACTCTGACCGACACTAATTCAGGATTTAATTACTAAAACAGAAAATGTGGAGAATTGAGAATAATTTGGGCTACACTAACTGGATTGTAATAATGCCCTAATTATATTGTTTTTAGTGACCAACCCTGGCATTTTTATTCTTCTGATTCCTGCTATCTTCTTAAATCTTTTCCTCCAGTATGCAGTTCTCAAACACTTTCTTACTTGTAAATGAAAGAATTGTTTATTCAGTGTTTTATCGTTACCAGGCAGTCAGTTTATGCTGTTTCACAAACTACTCCAGCAACAGGAAGCTTTAGCTGTCTGATAGCTGAACTGCTGCAAATGAAAACAGATGAAAAAAAGAATCTTTACAAGAAATTCCAGGAAAACCCTGAAATTATGCATTGTGTACATGATAGTTAATAACGAGGGTCTATTGTTATTATCTATCATTTGCCCAACCCTGGAAAGATTATAAGTTTCACCAACTCTGCATAACATTTAACCACAGTTTTTTTTTGATGGCCCCTCCTTAAACAGTCTGAGTTCCTCCCTTCATTCACAAGGACTTGCAGAACATCTCCGACACTTTCCTCACAGTGTTTTACGGGTGTGGTGTGTGGGCCAGAGTTTCCTCAGGTAGATTGTCAGTTGAATCTCAGTCTGTACGAGTGTCAGACTCACTAACAAGAAAGAGGGGACAGATATGGGGTACACAGAAAGAAATGAGGGTGAGCCTTTGGAATCTGTGAGCCACATGGTGACTAATCTACCTACAGAACAGGTGTGTACATATCTACACATATATATATGTAGATAGATAGGTCTGTGTGTAGAAGGTTAGTGTGTGTGTGTATATAATTAGTTATAAATAAAAGGATGAAGCGTATGTGGGCATATGTTATGGAAAAGGCATGTAGAGTTGTCAGCATGTTATATGTCAATGCATATGTACAGTTATATGTTGCGTAAATGTAGGCAACAGAGGAAAAGAGAATGTTATTTCTAAACACATTTTATCTATGCAGCATATACATTGTATAGATATGTGCATTGTATAATTTAATATAAAAACAATTATTGGTTCTTCTGTCGGTTTCTGCTTTTCTGTCTGTTAACAAACAGGTGAGGTATGACAGACCCATTAACCTGGACAGGACAGTAACTGATTTGTTTTTTTAATAGTTTTTTCAAGTATTTTTGCTAATTTAAGTTTAGCAAGCAGGTGGCGCACAATCACTGTCACTGCTCATGATGGCAAAGGAAAACCCTGCAATAAGAGATAACCTTATGTATTGAAGTAGATGAAAAAAACATTTAAAAAGTAATTCACAAGACTAAAGGATCACTTAAAACTTCAAGGCCAAAAAAACGTTTGAGATAAGTATAAACTAGTGGTTGCTGTTTGGCATGCACAGATTGGTAACATCGTAACTTGGCACTTGCATACTGATTTGCTCTCAGTAGGTCACTACTTATAGTTTCAGGGCAATCCCCAAGCCAACTGTTTGTCTTACCACAATGTTAACTGTGGGCCTTAAAAGAATTGTGCAGGGCATGTGGTACCTTAAATGACAAGAGGGGAACATGTTGGGGCTGTTATGTACATAATGAACTGGGCAGTGACTGAAATTGATAGCGGGATGCTGATGGATATATGCTCTTACTTAAGATAAAATAATACAATTATCTCCATCTCTCAGTGTAACTGGGTTACTATGACATTTATTATATCTAAAAAAAAAAACTAAAAATAAAAGACAGAGTAGGAATAATGAAGTGTAACAATTCCAAGGGTAAAAGGTAAAGGTACATTGTTAAATTAATTCCATGAAGAATGTAATAAAAGCATTCTATGTATCTAATTTAGATATTATGGAACTGGAGGGCCCGAGCATTTTTGTGCCTGATAATTACTTAAATTGAGTAATATTTTTAAATCTTAATTGCAGAAAATCCACAACATTTCTGTGGGCCCAACACATACCATAGAATGTATAAATTCTTCTCTTTCCTATTTTGTGTCTCTGCATTCTCTTTCTGATAACAGATCAAGCAAATGGACTTGTTTTATGAATCTATAAGTAGAAATCTAAACCAAAAAGTTGCAGTTTATTTGATTTGACAAAAGCTAGTGGTGGCCTAGAGCTGAAGATTATTATTAGGATATTCAGAAAATAGAAATCACTGAAAGTATGATTGGATACAAATCATTTTTTACGTAAATAGCACCCCTAACAAATCCCGCAATGCCACCTGTGATCTGGCAAAGCTAACCCTAATAGGATCCCTCATGTTGAGTTTCCTGAGTTTTCTTGTACAGTAAAGAGACAGGCACTCTCTATGCTAATAATAGGAATACTCTAGTATAAGAGACAGTTTATCGTCATATTGATCATACCTCTGCTGCATTATATAAGGATTCATATCTACGGACATTAACTATGCTTTACTGTATAAGCCTTGAGTAATCACAGAGAATTCAAAGTAGAAGGCTTCTTGGTGTCCAAAACCAGACTTCTTGGTGTCCAAAACCATGAAAGCATCATTATACGTGCTTGTGCTATGATGAGGGCACTAGGCCAATGCAGATATTGCTTCAGCTGCGCTCTTTGCATAGTCTGCCCTGAGTGGGGTTGACGGGAAGGCTCATATGTGGAAGTCAGACTAAGACATCTCTACTATGGGTGTGCCTTATAAAAGGACCTTAGTTTCTTGAAAGCATGTAAAATCTCTCTTTTTAAAAAAAAAAAAAAATCTTTATTTTTGTTAAATGCCGTAGTGACAAAATATACAAACATATACGTCCATGAACATATTGTATAAACCGGAAGCGTCACATCAAAACATAGGTTATGCATTTCTTTTTCTTTTTTTTGAAAGAGATATATACCAAACTAGTATCGTTTACCAGCATTTTGTGCATCTTGAAGCTAACTCCAACTCTGTCAGAAATGATCATAGTGAGCCGAATCGTCATTGTTATCAGCGGTTTTTGCTACATGTGGTTATGGGTCGTTTGTGGCTCACATTAATCTCACTAAGGCGGCTTCAAGTGTGTTTGTGACAAAGGTGGTTTGTACAATATCTTTATCTACAATTCCCTATTACATTGCTTGCCTGGCATACAGTGATATCATTATCTAATGACCATGCCCCTGAAGTAGGGGGAAGAACATAGGACAGAAGAAGAAAGAAAAGAAAGAGCAAGAAAGAAGGGGTGTGGGGGTGGCAAAATATCCCTTTTTTGTTAGCCAACAAAGGTATCACAAAATGTTATTCTCATGCAGTGCCACATAATAGATCAAATGATAAAACAAACACCGCGTTATTTACTAAACACTTGGTTTTGTCTGAATAGATAAAATCTCATGAAAATGGCGCAATACCAACCGGATTAGCAACGTTCATATTTACTAAAGGTAATTCCAGTCGGAATTCCGCCAGCCCAATTTAACCTTTCCCAACCGACTGGATGCATGCTTCACGCATCCAAACACTATACAAAGTATAGGATACAGAATATGTACAAAGTACAGAATTGAAACTAATGAGGGATCAAATGCACATTTGCCATTTATTCTTGACTTAATTTTGTACAAACAATAATTTGAAGTACTATTTGCCCACTGGCAGTGTTTACAGTCAGAAACAAACAGTGAAAAAAAAAAACCTTGGTAGTGTGAGGGTTAATCATGTGGCAACTGGCCATCAATATGACTCCCATATTAAGGGAGATTTTAAACTTACTAACACGTGCAATACTGTGGATAGGAACAGTGAAATGCAATACTAACGTAACCCCCAGTCCCGACCTGTAGGTGTCCAGGGGGGGATACTGATATAATAACTGGGGGGGGAAATCCCACTGTTTCTCCCTAGCCCCCACACATGATCAGTGGGCTATTTACTAATCAATGGGGGGGAGTGGGGTAGACATACCTTCACATCAGTGGTGTATTTTGAAATTTAGGCATGACAGATCTTGGGCACCTTCCTGCAAAGGCCACACCTCTTCCTGTTAATTTGCACACATTTTGACTGACAGACACACACTCACGGACCAGCACACACTCTCAGATACACTGACATACACACACACTCACTGATTTGACACAATCTGACACACATACAATCATTTAGACACACACTGACAGATGCATACACTCATTGACAGACGCATACATTCACTGTTGGTTGCAGTTACTGACACTTACTGATAAACATGCACAATCAGACACACACATTCACTGGACACACACTCACACACATTCACTGAAACACAAACACTCACTAACAGACACACACTCACTGACAGACACACACACACACACACTCAAATTCACTGACACACACACTCACTCAAATTCACTGACTCACACACATTTCCCCCCCAACACTCACAATTACTATTATTTATTTTTTTACATTTAAATCCACCCAGCCTTCCTACTTTTGGGATAGCTGGTGGATTTTTCACCTGGGGTCCAGTGGGGATGCTGGCCAGACAGCTGTTGTCAGCGAGGGAGCTGTGATCTCTCTGCTCGGCTCCCTCGCATGCCGCAAAGTGTTTCTGGGAGCTGGACTGACGTAAAATTCCGGCTCCGGCATCACTGCGGGTCGCGAGAGGGAGCTGAGCAGAGAGCGCTCAGGGGAAAGTGCTCCCTCGCCGCCTGCCTGGGAATTAACTGGCCGCCTGCCCCTGGGCCAGCTCTTGGACTAAAATGAGGCAAGCAAGGCATTAGCCTGGGCATTTTTTGCCACCCCCTGGAAATTGTCACCCCAGGTAAATGCCTCGTTTGCCTCGCAATAGATACATCGCTGCTTCACATATGGAAAAGACATCATTACGCCTAAAACACAAAATAATAAGAGAATTGGATTTTTATGTCCTCAGGACTCTTGATTTTTTGGGTTTGGACAGCCAAACCAATTAAGAATAAAGACTCATAGCTGTACAGACTGATGGGTATTTGCATGAATATATGTAATGCATACTATTACACATCTTCCAAATATACATACATGCAAACATATAATTACATTAACAGAGTACAATTAATGTAGCTATAAACTGACAAATATCAAGAATAGCAAACTGTGCAGCAGAACAAGCACTGTTACTAAGTTACTTGGTATACAGAGATATACAGAGAAGCAACAAGTAAGTGCACAAATACATGTAACCATAACACAAAGGTAGTTGAACAGACTGATAGCAACACTAAATGGTTTATTCATTAAATAATTAATTGTGGTCTTCTGAAATGCAAGGAGATGGACTGAAAATATACCTGTGAAGTGTTGGGAATTCATCATGGAATTGCAAATTCAAGGCCAAAATAGACAAATTGGACATAGCTAACATTTTACAATTAAGCTATTTTGACCTGAAATTTTCAATCCAGTGGTGAATTGCTAACAATTCGTGGTTTCATGAATAACCTTATTTGGTTGTCAGCTCACTACAGTTCACAGGTTAGTGAATGCATTCGTTATACAAACATAAAAGTGCACATGTATTAACAGAAATAAATGTACTAACTACTTTTAAAATTAATTAGGTTCCAAGTAGGTTCCTGGTAGATGACAGTACTATGTAGGGGAGCTGTTTGTTTAACCCCTTAAGGACACATGACATGTGTGACATGTCATGATTCCCTTTTATTCCAGAAGTTTGGTCCTTAAGGGGTTAATCTGCCCAAAGGTACAGTGCCCGTTCATCTCATCAATACATCTTGGTTAAACGGAAGGGCCAATAATTAAATATGCTTAAATACTTGATACTTGACAAAGTTGTGTCCAAGGCCAGTGTGCCCACAGGCCTACAATAATTACATATGCCAAAGCACTTGATAGGGCTGCATGGCTGCATATTATTATTATATTCCATGTGAATCCTCAATGTTACTGAAAATCAGTCAGTCAGTTGGTTTTATGCCCTCATTTGTGTATAATTTATGTGACCTTCTCTGATATACTCAAGTCAGAGCCGGGTTAAGGTTGCTGCCTTTGAAGTTAGCGCTGTATCTTTCTTTTTATTGTATAAGGTTGTCCAGGGTCCTAGGCAGGGCACCACATTGGGTCCTAAGCTCTGTTTTTGTGTGTGGTGTGTGTAGGGGCTGAGTGTTGCATGTGTGGAAGAGTGTGTATGTGTGTTTAGTATTATAAACATGTGTATGTGCCTGAGAATGTGCGTGTGTGTGTGCATTTCTGACTAAGTGTGTCTGTGTCTCTGACATTGTGTACTTGTGTGTGTGTGCGCCAGAGCATCATTGTGTGTGAATGGGTGTCTCTGTGTTGGTATGCATGTGTATGTATGTGTCTGGGAGCATATGTGTGTGGGTATTTGCTCACTGTGCTGTGAGCTTTTGTTTTTTGTTGTGTTTATGATCAGGCTGTGTTTCATGTGTGGGAGGTGACTGTGTATGACAATGACTATCACCAGGTGGTGACTATGGTAGGGTGAGGGGCGAATGTGTGACTAGTGAGGAGTGTGGGTGTGGCAGCATTTGGGGTGAGTATGACAGGGTTTGGGGGTAGGTGTGACAGGGTGGGGGATGAATAAGACAGTTTGAAGAGATTGAGTGTGACAAGGTTGACTGTGGCAGGGTATGTGAGGGAGTGACAGTATGTGGGGAGGATGTGTTAAACACAGTCTCCATACACTGTATTATATTTTTTTAAATATAACATTTGCCCCCATCCTGCTCACTTCTTGGGCAGGAAGGGGGTGCACAAACACATTCCCTGGTGGTTCACTGGGCTGCTGGTCCAGCCACAGACCTTCCAGTCCGGTGTTCTATCCGATAAGTATACTTATCAGATTTCTATACGGACATCACTTCGGTGCTGATCTCTGGGTATACAATTCTGATGCGTTATCAGAACAATGGTGCGGGATCAGCTGCTCCTCTAATCTGAAGGTGTACCACGCACCCTTTAGATATAGAAATCTGATGGGTGCATTGCAAATGTGCGTGGTACATCAATCAGATTTCTATACTACAGCTTTCACTATGTACTAGTGGAAATAGTGGAAATAGCTGAGATGCAGCATTATGGGGGTGACACACTAGGGATGGGGAGGTTAATGGGGGTTATATACTGGGGATGGGGGGATAATATTGTGACACACAGGGGATGGGGGATTTATGGGGGTTAATGGTGTGACATACAGGGGATAAGTGGTGACACACTGGGGATTGGGGGTTAATGGGATGACAGGTGTTAGAGGGTGACACACAGGGGATAGAGGGTTTAATGGGGGTTATACACTGGTGATAGGGGGGTAAATGGTGTGACACACAAGGATGGTGGGGGTAAATTATGGTGATCCCCTGACTGTCACTCAACAACCCCACATCCTCTGTCTGTCACCCCATTAACCCCCCAATCCCTAGTGTGTCACCTGTGGTGACATTTTGTTAAACTGATATGGTGACCAGGGGTCATGCGACCAAGCTCATGTATGCCTTACAGTGGTATAAGCTTTACCCTTTGATATGGTAATTTGGTAATTCAATACCTTTACAAGTCAGGAAAGAGATAACCACTTTTCCCTATCTCCATTCCTCCCTGTTCCTTTTTTTTTTGGCTGTGCTTCTGAGAAGACACGTGAGCAGACATGGACTAATTTTTATAATGGTGAACTGTGAGTGGGATTTGGTGACTTTATAAGATTTGGTTGTTATTTTAGTAAGTTAGATTGTTGTTGTTGTTGTCTCTGAATAAATATTTGTTAAAGTAGACGGACCAGAGTTTATATGTGTATGCATACATAATTTATAGAGTTTGGTAATATACCACAGCCCCCTTAACCCCCCAATCCCTAGTGTGTCACCCCCTATACCCTATGTGTCACAAAATTAACCCCCATTAACCACCCATCCACAGTGTATAACCCCCATCCCCTGTGTGTCACAACATTATCCCCCCCATCACCAGTATATAACCCCATTAACCTCCCCATCCCTAGTGTGTCACCCCCATAAGTCTGCATCTAAGCTATTTCCACTGTGTTAGTACACAGTGAAAGCTGAAGTATAGAAATCTGATTGATGTACAGTGCGCATGCGCAGTACACCCGTCAGATTTCTCTATCTGGAGGGTGTGACGCGCACATGCACAGTACACCTTCAGATTAGAGGAGCAGCTGATCCTGCGTCATTGGAAGCGACGTCTGTCACAATTCTATACCCCAAGATCAGCAACTCACCGGAAGTGACGTCCGTATAAAAATCTGATAAGTATACTTATCTGATAGAACACCGGCACTCTGCGATGACCTCAGAGCTTAGGTTGGGAATTCCACTGCCTGTGCTCTGACTCCCTCACAGAGCACTTCAACTCCTAGAGAGTGCACCACAGACCACAAGGGAAGGATTTGTTTTTTAGGGCTATACGGGAGATCTTTTCTTTATCAGAGCCAGGGATTCAGGCTCAGACAGGGGTGCACCTGGCCCCTGTCTATGCTCAGGCCCTAGGCTGCAGCTTTGGTCTCCTCCAAGTTATTGGGTAGTGTGTGTGCACATTAACCTATTTAATGCAACATAATGCAGGTTATAGGGGCCTGTTAATAGTTCAGGACCATCACAATAATGTATAAACAGTTAATAATTTAATTGCATTTTTGTTGTTTTAGGTGTTATAGTAGGGAATAAACAGGTGGAGTGAGAATGTAAATGGCTGCCTACTGGCTGCACAGAAAGGGTAAATGTTTGAGCGAAAACTGGCAGCAAAGAAAGGGTTCAAGGAAAACTCAAAGAATCATAACCATAGCCTGATGCCTCCTCTATTGTAAGTAGTCACCGTTTTAGAATAATCAACGCTTTTAATACTTTAGAAAGAGAATGGGAATCTCTCTGAGCTATTCCCTGACACTTTTGGCAAATTAACTAAGAGAGTTAATGGACACTCCAGGGTCTCCCACTCTAGTGGTTATGGTGCTTGGAGATTTCCTTTAATAATAGCAAAGGGAAAACAATTATATATATATATATACATATATATATATATATAGATATATATATATAGATTTATTTTGTATTTTTTATTTATGTATTTTAATTTTGAGCTAGTGTAATGAAAGGCAGGTAAGGATTAACCCTAGAGGACATTGCTGGGAGTTATAAAGTGATGTTTTAGCAGAGCTATGATTCAGTTGTATAGTTGATGTGTATGCCTAGTTACTTGCTAGATTGTATCAAGATAGAAACATGGTGTTTGTAAATAGTGAGTGATTACACACAAAAACAGCATATTGTCCACGGACTTAAAAAGGATTTCCATCAAACCCTGCAGGATTCAATAGATTTAAGAGCAACTAAGTAGTCATGTTACTGTGTGTGCCGAGAAGAATAAAATGTTACAATTGGTAGTTTGGCTAGGTCATGCTCAGACTGACTAATATGAATGCTAAGTGCTCGTGGCAGAAGGATTCCTCTGCACACAGTAATGTTTGTTAGGGATCAGCTGACATGAAACTTTCATATGTTGACATCAGTGCAGGGAGAGGGGACCAGGCATGAGTGGAACATGTATTAATTATTATTATTATTATTGCCATTTATATAGCGCCAACAAATTCCGTAGCACTTTACAATATTATGAGAGGGGGATGTAACTATAAATACGACAATTACAAGAAAACTTACAGGAACAATAGGTTGAAGAGGACTCTGCTCAAACGAGCTTACAGTCTATAGAATTGAAAGGAATTCTGGTCCTGGGACAAGTGTTCAAATACATTTTGGTGAGAGATACATTTATTTGAAGGAAAATAAATTTCTGGAAGTAATTGAATTGCTTTACACAGAGATTATTAAATAAGAGAAAGGATAGATGGGGAGGAGATGAATAAGCTGTCAGTGTATGTATTAGTATGTATATGTGAGCATATAATTATATATTATTTATTTATTATTATTTATCTCTGTTATACAGTTGAAATCAAAATTATTCAACCCCCATTGAATAGCAGGTTTATTGTCAATATTTACAGACTTTCAGCTGTTTGCAACAAACACATTTACCTCTTAACCCCTTAAGGACTGAGCCAAATGTACTGTGATCAAAACAAAACGTAAACAAAATCTGGAATTTGACTATATGTCTGTTCAACCGTATTTCACCTCTTTTGTTTTAAGTGCACCCACACTTATTGTATATCATTTTATTCAGGGGAGATGGGGCTTTCATTTTACATCAAATATTTAGGTATGAAACATAATTTGATATGAATAAAATATAAAAAAATGGGAGAAAATAAGATTATTTTTTTAGTTCTACGTGACATTTTAGCTGTGAATATCATAATACTGTTTGCTTTTACTACAATAAAATACACATTTTTGTATTCAGTGATGTCTCACGTGTAAAACAGTACCCCTTATGTACAGGTTTTCTGGTGTTTTGGGAAGTTACAGGGTCAAATATAGTAGACAATCCAAGGTATTGCAAATGAGGTATGTCCAGTCTTTTTTAGTAGCCACTTGGTAACATACACTAGCCAAAGTTAGTGTTAATATTTGTTTGTGTGTGAAAAATGCAAAAAAACTAAGTTGAACGCCAAATTTGGCAAGTGTTTGTGACTAAGTGGCTACTAAAAAAGACTGGACATACCCCATTTGTAATACCTTGGGTTGTCTACTATATTTGACCCTGTAACTTCTCTAAACACCAGAAAACCTGTACATAAGGGTTGTCTACTATTGCAAATGGTATGCCATCATGGGGGTAATTTTCATTCCTGGGCTACCATACGGTCTCAAAGGCAACGTAGCCATCTGGCGAATTTCAATATCAAGCCTTATATTTGACTCTGAAAACTTTTGAAAACACCATAAAACCTGTACATGAGGGGTACTGTTATACTCGGGAGACTTCTCTGAACACAAATATTAGTGTTTCAAAACAGTAAAATGTATCACAACAATTATATTGTCAGTGTAAGTGCCTTTTGTGTGTGAAAAATGTCACTTTCACTGATGATATCATCGTTGTAATACATTTTACTGTTTTGAAACACTAATATTTGTGTTCAACGAAGTCTTCCAAATAAAACAGTACCCCCCCCCATGTACAGGTTTTATGTTGTCTTGTAAAGTTACAGGGTTAAATATAGTGCTAGCAAATTAAATTCCCTGGACTTTCAACCTGGGTTGTCAAGCAGGTCCCGCAAATTGTAATTAATAAAACGACCTAATTATATGTAGTAGTATTATATATATACACACACATGTGTGTGTATATATATATATATATATAACAAAAAATCAGATTTAGGCACTCACCCTTAAGAAAACTCCTATGATTGTTGCCTTTGGTGCTTCCAGCGTCAAAAATTATAACCATAGATAAATAGGAGCACTCAAAAGGACTTCTTTGTCGATATTTATTGTTAAAAAAAAAAAGGTTACATCAAAGTGTAAGACATCAAATCGACGTTTCGACCCCTCAGGGTCTTTTTCAAGATATATATCCAAAAAATAAATAAGGCAAGGCACTCCTCCTTCATGCAGGAATTATATAAATGCCCATGTGCAATCCCGCGTTATGTATATAAGAAAAAGCAGTCCAGGGAGCACACTGGGTCTTGAAGTTAGTGGAACAAAATTATTTAATGTATCATAAAAAATAAATCAGCTGAGAGGTACACACAAATCGACGTTTCGACCCTCCTGGGGTCGATCTTGATAAAGACCCCAGGAGGGTCGAAACGTCGATTTGTGTGTACCTCGCTATCTTGATACATTAAAGTTCCATAACTTCCAGTATTCTCCTAATACTATATATATATATATATATATATATATATATATATATATATATATATATATATATAATTTTTAAAAATAATTTGTATTTATATATAGGTGTGTATATATATAGTGATATATATGTATATACTTGTGTATATAGATATATATATTATTTCTACATGTATTTTGATATTAATTTATATATATATTTATATCAAAATATAGTTTGAACGAAATTACACATATAATTTTTTAATTTATTTTTTATCATTATTTTATTTTAAATTTTTTTAATGTATTTATATATTTATTTAATTTAATTATAATTATATATATATTTAAGCAATACCATTCTGCATGTATTTTGATATTAATATATATATAATTATATATATTAATATTAAAATACACAGTGTTTGTGTATGTGTATATATATATATATATATATATATATATATATAATGTATATATTGGTTCATTTGAAACTGTGTTTTAACTTTTTTTTTACATTTTACAGGCAGCAGGGGGACTACCTGTAATTATATGCACTCCCCCTGCTGGCACTGCTGTGGACAGCTATGCCGTCCATGTGATCATGAGGTCCTCGCAAGGACCTCGCGATCACATGGCCCAGGAGGGCCAGAACGGCAGCAGGGGGACTCCCTGGGATGCCAGGTGAGTCCCCCCACCGCAATCGCCGGCGATCCGGGTAAGTACACAGGACGGCGGGGATGTGCTATGCCGCCCGCCGGTGTTTAGAGCCGGGTACCCAAGGACGGCATAGCACGCCCGCCGTCCTTAAGCAACTGTACACGTTGTGATCAAAACAAAACGTTAACAAAACCTGGAACTTGCACTATATATCTGTTTAACCGTAATTCACCTCCTCCATACTAAGTGCACCCACACTTATTATATATCACTTTGTTCACAATGTTTTAGTAAAGAGAAACAAGCTTGTTAACTGGGTTAAACAGATAGCAGAATACACCACCCTAAACAGCTCCACGGACACAGTAGAAACATCCTACTTAGTTAGTAGCATAGTTAAGAAAAGAAAACATGTGCTGTTATCTGAAGTATGCCTACAGAGATTTTAGGGTAGATACTACAAATATTTGTAAGTTTAACTATGCATTTTACACCAAGAGTCAATAGCTTGGGAGGTTTCATGCAGCCGGACACTCTTAATGATGGTCAACCTATGCCCATTGCAGGGAGATCCGAGTCCCATGTTGCCTGTGTCTTCAGACTCAGAGCCTGAGATGTTAACAGGAGATCCTGCATCTGCAGTTGCCTTCCCTCTACCTCTCCATCCCCCCGCTCATCTTTCATGCCGATTCTGAAGTTTATTGGATGCGGGGCTGGACGGTATTTTACCCTCCTCACGATGCACCTCTGGTGTTGGAGGCCTCTAGTGGAAGCAGCAGGACGTCTCGGGGTGCGACGGGTCATTTTGAGAGAAGCTTCCACAATCTCAGGTAGGGTCTGTCTGTGCTGCAGTGTTCTCCAAAAAGCCTCCAAACGCTGGAGTATTGGGAGCGCTACATCTCCGGGGATAGTGCTACTCGTGGCATCCGCCATTTTGCATGTATCTCCGATGGCTTGCAGGCAGTAATCACACTACTGCAGCTCTCTGATGGGCCCTGGGAGCTGTCAGGTTGGGGACTGGGATCACCCCACCAGTCCAAAAGGGGGGGTTAGCGGGGTGTCAAGTGCTTAGTTGGAGCTTCGCCTGCGACGGACTGGGATATCAGCTGCATCTCCCTCCCACGCCGCCTCCTGAGCCACACTGGTTCTCGGCATCTGAATCAGCATAGAAGACCGCTGGGTGCACCCCCAGAACAGTCAGTCGGTTTGTGTAGTCAAGATTCTATAGCAAGTTGCATAATTTTAGCTTTATCAGCTTTAAAATTAGTTTTGCTCCTCACCTACCCAAACGAACTGTCAAACATGAAATCTTAAAAACTGAATAAGCTTGCAATGTATATATGACAAAGAAACGTTGTATCCCCCTACCCTCTCTTAATTATGTACCCTAAAACCAAATGCAAAAGAAAAATGACAAAAATAAAGAATAATAAAAAAAAAAATTAGTTTTGCTCAGTATTTCTCGAGGAGAACGCATGAGACACATCCAGTCGCCATGATAGTCGGGCCTTACCTCCAGGGCTTTCATTTTATATGAAATATTTATATATGAAACATAATCTTATATGAATAAAATTTAAAAAAAAAATTGAGAAATTAAGAAATTTTATTTTTTAATTTCTGCATGACATTTCAACTGTGAATGTCATAAAACTGTTAGCTTTTACTATAATAAAATACACATATTTGTGTTCAGGGGTGTCTAACGAGTACAACAGTAACCCCCATGTACAGGTTTCATGGGGGTTGGGAAAGTTACTGGACCAAATATAAAACTTGCCCATTTCTGTTTTTGCCCACTGAAATTTGCCAGATTGGTTATGCTGCCTTTGAGAGCGTATGGCAGCCCAGGAATGAGAATTAACCCCATCATGGCATACCATTTGAAAAGTAGACAACCCAGGGAATTCAAATTTCAATTTGTACTGATGATATCATCGTTGTGATACATTTTACTGTTTGAAACACTCATATTTGTGTTCAGTGAAGTCTCCCAAGTGCAACAGTACCCCCCATTTACAGGTTTTAGGGTGTTTTGGAAAGTTACAGGGTTAAATATAGGGCTTACAAATTAAATTGTCTGGACTTTCTGCATGGGCAGTCAGGCAGGTCCCTGAAATTGTAATTAATAAAATCACTTATGTTAAAATATTACATAAATATATACGTAAAATTTGAATATATATTTATATATATTTAAATTTTACGTGTATGTTTATGTAATCTTTTAACATAATAAAGGAATTTTACTAATGGATTTTACTACTGTGGATAACGACTATTTTAATGTAGTCGGTGGCCGTTACATTACTGGTGGTGAATTCCCTTGGACGTAAGAATCCATAAAAAGCTAGATATATGGCATATTGGTTATATGTTCGAACAGAGCTGTATCTAACAATGATTTGGAATATTTTATTGTGGATGGGTAGTCTTTTAGAGGGTAGATGTGTGTCTGATTTTTGGATTCCCTTTATCAAAGTTTTTATCTGGTATGATGAAAGGAATCCTGTTTCATTAGGGTGTTGTAATAGCATGTGGTGTTCAATATAATTTTTTTTCACAGTGCTGTGGTTAGTTTTTTTCTGGGGAAAGAGTAGGGATCTGTCTGGATGAGGGAAAGAGAGAAGATAATCAAGAAGGAACAAAAAGAACACAAATTAGTTAGAAGTGTGGTGCAGTAGAGAGGGAGGGGATATGTAAGAGGAGGGTACAAGAGCAGGATAGATGGTAGGTCGGTGCGTGCGGGTCCCCCCGCCTCGCCTCAGCCAGTGTCGTCCTCCCCATTTCCAGTCCTTGTTTGAGCACCGCTCTGCATGCTTGTCGCTTTGGTTTAAGAGCTGTATGGATTTCCGCTGACTTAGTAGCCATTGATCAGTTGTTGGGGGATTCGTTTGTGAGGGCAGGCACCAGTGATTTGGCGGCGTTGACCAGGTGTTGCAGGATCTATTTTTTTATATTGTGAGATGTGCAGTTTATTTGAATGTAGGAGCAAATTTGCAATGCCAAAGTCCGGTACATCCCACAAGATTTCCGCCATTATGTTTTTGACCTTGTTCCAATATGGTGACATTTTAGGACAATCCCACCAGATATGTCGTATGGATCCTACCCCTGTGTTGCACTTCCAACAAGTGTCAGGTACTGTTGGGAATATCATGTGGAGAAGGGCAGAGGTGCGGTACCATTGTGAGATTTATAGTTGACCTCTTGATATTTAGAGCTAATCGAGCTTTTATGTTGTATAATGAGGATTTTCTCCCATTGAGCATCAGAGATGGTTTGAGATGTTAACTCTTCCCATTGTCTTTTAAAGGAGAGAGCTATTTGTTGCCACAGATGGCTACAAAGCCAGTATTGGCTGCAGCGTCTGTCCAGAGTGTAGGAGAATTGTTGAAAATTGGGGGGTGAACATGGCTTGCCCATTTCATGATGTGAGAAAAGTGCGCCACATAAGTAAGTCAGCCATCGTGTGTTTCTAACGTGATGCGTGATTCATCTGAGGGGAAGTCCGGGAACAAAGAAAGTAGACGGGTAATGAATGATCTACTCTGGGGAATAATCCTCATGGCAAAATTGAGCGACCCAAGCAGAGATTGAAGTTCTTTCCGGTTACAAGAACCTAGCTGTAAGTAAAGCTCAATGCTCGATAAGGTGTGCTCAATCTTATCGTGGCAAAGACTGGCCTCCATGTGAACCTAGTCCAGTTGAAACCCCAGAAAATGTATAACCGTGTCAGGACCTTTTGTTTTTTAGGGGAGACCGGTATACCCAGGGATTCAAAGAGAGCCATCATTTATTTGAGGTTCCCACAAGTTCCTGCATTAAAATTATTACATATCTGGGACTTGCCCAGGATTACAATGTCCCTACCCAGCTTATCCTTCGAACCTTTGGTTGATCTTGCCGAGTTAGGGACTGAGTGGCCCTGCTCAACTTCTGTCGTATTAGGGCATAGGTTGGTAGAGTGTGCAGTGGATGCACAAACTGCACAAGCCGGAGTCCTGAGGCCTGCAAAATGCCTGCACAATAACTCAGTATGCCAATCTACTCCAATTTATGCTGTAGTTAAACTGAGTCAGAGCTGCAGCCATCTTTGCAGAAAAGAAACAGTGGTAGTCAAAGAAGGCTGTACGACCGTATTTGTGCCCCAGATCCAGCTTGTGCATATATCCAACTCTTCCCATTTCTCAAGATAAACTGAGCAATATACATCCCTATTAATCCCAAAACTTAACACAAATTCAGGTATAGACAATTTTTTATTCAGCCTAGGATCTCTTGCCCTCAGCACCAGTGATATGTCCCCATACACATATGTCCTGTTAGAAGACATTAACGAGGTTATCATAGCATGAACATCCAGCATCTGGGACCAACTAGGCCCTTCCCCTGCATCCGAGTTATCGGTCTTAGAGAAGATGGACTAATTACATCTGCTCCGTTGGCAGGGGTACAGGATCTAGCTGGGGTGCTAGGAAGGGACAGTTCTTCCAGTACTTCAGGAACTTGAGACATACTGAAATTATATATATATATATATATATTTACCATAAGTGAGACAACGTAGCCTGGTACTGGCTGGCTAGCTAAGGCCAAAGTGGCAAAAAAATTATACTACCACAGAGTGACAGGTGAGGCCCTGCTGGTCGCCAAGCGGCTTGAGATGCGCTAACTAAGTGTTGGCCCGAGGGGATTTAAGGCCACCGAACATTGTGGCGGGGTGCTGGCTTCTCGGTGACAATTAAAGCAGAAGATAGTATGGGTGCGACATGTGAGGCCCTCTCTATGCAACCATGTGAGGTGAATAACTATGCTTTGGACCGATGGGCATATACCTCCAAGTATGAGGATTGGTGATGGCCTCGCAGGACCACTAGCCTATGGCATAAAGGCCAGAAACATAAACTATTTGGACAACCTAATAGATATTAATACCGCACTCTGACGCACGAAAAAATGTGTCGAATAGAGACAAAAAGTATCTGAATTATGCAAAATTTCATCTGTAAATATTTTTCCAGAAATTCAAAATCATATATCAAAACTGAAAATTATGCTAGCTTTAGTGTACTAATAATCTTAATTTTAATAATGAAAGGAGGCAAGTTTATTTATAATCTCTTTACTAACTCCACACAGCAGCAAAGAAACACACAGAAAAAAAGAACCAATCACAAAAGAGTAGGATGTACATAAGGAATAGTGACCTCATCATTTCCTCTTTCAGAAAGCGACATCAAGCGGAAGTAAACATATAACAAGCAATAACAATAACTCCCAAGTCCAGAGAATTCCATACGAAAAACAAAAAAGTGTTCAGGGACGAATCAAATCCAAAGGATTAAAATTCCAGAGTGTCACCCGAACAACCAAATGTCTTCAGAGACGAATCATACTGAAAAGAGAATGTGTGACAGGTTTAGAAACAAAGTCTGTAAATCCAAGTAACGTACCGTATACATCATCCCATAGGAGAATATTGTAAACTACAATCTGATAACTATAGTGTAAAACTCCACTGAAAATTCCAGAGACCCAGGACATACTTGAAAACGAGAGAAATCTCAATGTATCTTTCCTGGTAAAATATTTTATAAATAAATTAATGGAAATACAATCATCGATGTAAGCATAAAACATGAGAGCCAAACCCACCTTAGACCCATGATACATACAAAGAAAACAAACAGAAAGGGTGGGTAGCGAAGCAGGGAGGGAAAATACTCACCTCCTGTCCTTATTAAAATTAAGATTATTAGTACACTAACGCTAGCATAATCTTAAATTTTGCAACACGACAGGAGGCTTTGCATTTTGCATTTTTAAACACTGAGAAAAGAATATAAAACTAAAGAAGAATCCTAAAGTGCGCCAAGAGGCCCAGCACGTCGGAGCTAAGGGAGAGAACTCTCCGTCGAATGCCCGCACATCCGATACCTGATGGAAAACCACACCAGACCAAGCCTGGAAGTCTGTCAGCAGAATGTCTAGTCCCATAGAGAAAATGGAGAACGACCTCCACATCCCATAAGCCAGAGGTGGATGCCACTGGGTAGTTGGTACACAAGAGGATCCCAGTCCGTCGGGAGTCCTCAGGCCGGAACTCGGGCCGTTGATCCGTCCCAATCAACAAATAAGGGATCAAGATACAGTTCCATACACCAGTCAGGCCGGGAACATCCAGATGGAGAGGTAGCAATGTCACATCCCTGGGTCCCAAGAGACTCCCAAGAGCAAGGTTAATGCTGTCACAGTGGGACAGTCAAGGTGTTGCTATACGCCGAACAACAAGATGGAGAATTTTCGCAAACCTTGCAAGTAGTGAAAGCATTTGTCCCTCGGGGAGGCCCGGTCAGCCGGAGCGCGATCACCATCGTGCACTGTCGTACACTGTGCCAAGTGAAAACACCAAATTCAGTCATTCAAATTACATGTGTCTCCCCCAGGAGACGGGCTGATCTCGGGGTTCTGCCAGGAAGGCAGGAGTCGAAGAAGTCTTTCATGCTGTCCGATAGAAGACGGGAGTTGGTTCCATCCAGGCGGGTGGTATACCTGACCGTCAAAGTTTTGGCCATTCGTAGTAGGATGCAACAGACTTAGTACTTCTTTACAAATCTACGGATAGTGAAGTATTGCACTAAGAATTCTAGGTATGCAACGTGAAGGGTCACGGTGGTGCCGTGGAGGACCGTGTGAATATTCACAAGGCGTGGAATCGCTTACGAATCTTACAAGCGGATCATCCCCTACAAAACATGAAGATTCCAGTCAGACCTCGGAGAATCGTGGGTGTTGACCAGTCTTCAGTTCCCTGAATCGATCTGAGGGAGATCGTCCAGGAAGATAATGCCTTGCCTACCCCACACATAACTAATCACTGGTTTTGGTAGTTTATCGAGGCCCTCAAGGATCCAAGTTGAGGGAGCATGGGAAGAGCCGATGCCTGGACGTGTCACAGGGAACCTAGATAATGTCGCCAAGAGAGATGGAAAAAACTGGATCTGAAGCCATAACGTGTCTTCAGATCCAGTATCGCAAGCCAGTTGACTACATGAAAGGGGTCCTAACTAGGTTTGAATGCCTTCCACGTAGATGCGATCGAATGTCCTGTGGATGTAGTAGGAAGTAAATCGATAGTACCCTAGGGGCGTATCCCTGAGGAAAACGGTACCTAGCGCATCTGTGCGTTCCGTGTTCTCTGTCCGATCATCTGGAGCACCAGAGGATGACTCTCGCTCTACAATAGAGTCAGCGACAGCAGGGTACCGGGTCAGATGTCCCAAAGTGGTTGTCGACAAGCTCCGCTGTCAACCGGTCCCAAAGAGCACCCTGGAGGTTTGGGCCCTGATGGAATTGGTGTGCCTTGTGCCTGGGGTTCCAATGATCTGCCAACCATCCGTCAGCACGGAGGAGTGCTGCTATGCGCGTCCCACAGGAGAGGCGAACACTGGGGTTTCTGACCAAAAGCGGGTATATCTCTTTAAACCATTTGTCCTGGTCAGTAGCAATTGCAATTGCTTGACACCGTACAGTAAGACAAAGTAGAAACTCAGTCAGGGGTTAACCCCAGGTGTACAGCAGTACAGGATGTGAACGCTAGAGCATGTCCCCATCCTGACATAGAGCACTGAACCATGCTCTAACAGCTAGTCTGGTGATATCCCTTTAAACATCCCGTAGCTGAAGTAATTCCACAAAACGCGTACTTATACAGCACAGTCCTGCACTCAACCATGCACCAATAGCTAGTCTGAGATCAAGGGTGATATCCCTGCAGAACATCCCATAACAGGAGTAAATCCGCAAACCCCTTAAGGACACATGACATGTGTGACATGTCATGATTCCCTTTTATTCCAGAGGTTTGGTCCTTAAGGGGTTAAACCACAATACAATAATACACCATAAACAGTGCAACATAGAACAGCTTAGGGTACTTACCTGTGCCTGGATTCAAACCTGGGACCCTGGGATCCAACTTACCTGTGCCTGGATTCAAACCTGGGATCCAACGCCTGTGTCAGAGCAGCCTGAGCTGTGAGTGTAGCTAATGTTCAGCAGGCCGTATAAGCTACTCCCAGGTGCCGAAATCGCGGTGCGCGGGTGTAGCAAGATGGCTCCGCAGTTCGTGGGTGAAGGAAGATGGCCACCCGCAATCTCGCAAGATGCTAGACTAAAGATGGCCGCCACGTCTCGATCAGGCTAAATTCATGGTCACCCAACACACTGCACAAGCACAAAAGGTAATGGATGCTTAGGTAAGCATCAAACACATTACAGGGTGAAAAATGATATGTGCAATCATAAAAGGTGAGGGGCAGTGAGTCCGGACGGCACCAACTGGAGAGCGCGGCGCGGCTGTGGGGGGGGGGGAGAGGCTGCGGTCATGTCAGGATTTACTGGAGAGCCAGAAGGAAGGGGGACAATGCCTGGGGGCCGGCGGGAACTGCGGGAGGGTAGGGAATAAGCCCCAGCAAGGCCCAGAACCTCCATGAGACCCTGGAAAGTAGAAATAAAACAGGGGAGAGAGCCAAGCACCCTGAGTAGAGTAAAGGAAAATCAGAAAGAAGACACCTAGATGCCCAAGGCAAAGAAGCACAGTAAAACAAACAGTAATACCTATTACATACAATCCCAAACAGTCCCAAAAGGCAATATAAATACAGAGTAATGGAGAAAAGTAATACTTGTCTGCTTGATGGAGCAGCAAAGAAAGAGGAAATGATGAGGTCACTATGCCTTATGTACATTCTACTCTCTTGTGATTGGTTATTTTTTCTATGTGTTTATTTGCTGCTGTGTGGAGCTAGTAAAGAGAGATTATGCAAAGCACGAAGCCTCCTGTCATGTTGTAAAATTGTCACATACAGAATGGTTCAAAACCGCAAAAGACCTCAACATGTAGTACAACCTTTGCTTTTAACCAAAATTCATCTTATGTGCACATCTCACATGTATGTATCTGCAACATTGTTAATAACAATTTAGAAGCCTGGTGGGTCCACCAATTCACAATATGCTATTAGATAGCCAAAATCCACTCTCTCATTGGAGTTAATAAATGCCTAGCAGTCAGATCAGACGAAAAATCTATTAACAAAACAGCAAAAAATAAAATAATAAATAAATAAATATATATATATATATATATATGTCAAAAAATATCTTGGATAAGTAAAAAAAAAAATGAAAAATGTCTAACAGTCTCTCAGTGGAAAAAAAAAAGGATTTAGAATGTACAAAAATGGTTAAATCTCACCAAAGAACGTTCAAGACCAGATTGCTACAGACCGGACAAAGACTGTGAGACCGGTACCTTCCATTTATAGACTGTTTGCTACCATCTACAGAGGAGATAAATAACTACCAGCTACAGATGAAAGAAATAGCTACCACATTCTCAATTTCAGCGAAAGATTGGACTTATCTACACATTGAAAATCCAGCAATTTGAAAGTTATACATTTTTGGTCTGATCAGACCTGACTTGAACTTTATAGAAAATATCTGGTGGGATTTGAAAAAGGCTGTTGCAGCACCCAATAATATTACTGAACTGGAGGCCATTGCTCATGAGTAGTGATGTCCCGAACGGTTTCACGAACGGTTCGCCGCGGACTCATCATTGAGTAAACTTTGACCCTGTACCTCACAGTCAGCAGACACATTCCAGCCAATCAGCAGCAGACCCTCCCTCCCAGACCCTCCCACCTCCTGGACAGCTCACTAAGAATGCAGCTTCACAATGAATGTAAAATGGATGCTGTCCAGGAGGTGGGAGGGTCTGGGAGGGAGGGTCTGCTGCTGATTGGCTGGAATGTGTCTGCTGACTGTGAGGTACAGGGTCAAAGTTTACTCAATGATGAGTCCGCTGCGAACCGCTCATGGCGAACCGTTCGGGACATCACTACTCATGAGCAATGGGCTAAGATTCCTCAGGAACGCTGCGATAAGCTGGTGTCTGGCTATGCATCTCGTTTGCAGTAGGTCATAACAGCAAAAGGGTGCTTTACTGTGTGCTAAAGATGCTTTCCATGAAGGGACTGAATAATTTTAAGACTGGAGAAGTCATTATAAGTTGCATTTTTTAGTTACATTTTAGGAAACCTCTTAAAACATTGGTTGAGTTGAAAGAAGAAATTGGATTTCTAGTGCTTGTGCAATGGCTGCTTGGACTTCTCAAACCAGAGTCTTTTCATTCTGGCTGTAGATAAATGTGAAAAAGTGATGTAGGGAAGCAGCGCCTTCAGTAATGTCTTAAAACCCAATTGAATATAGAGTGAACAAAATCTAGTGCAGTATTTAAATTGCTGGTGATATTAGATGAAAAGTCAGCTCCAAACGTATTCGCTTGGACGGTATAGTTCCTGGTCCTCTGTTAGGAGATATCCTCAGGCCTGAGGCCAGGTGGTCAGCTACTACCAGTTGCTGGGATGTTTTATTTCAGTGTTTGAGCTATTTCAATTGCTTTGGTTTGATTTTTCATTGCAAACAGCTGAAAGTCTGTATTGTTTTTTTATTTTTTGACAATCAACCTGATTTTGTATGGGGGTTGAATAATTTTCATTACAACTGTATGCACTAGGTAGAAGGCTAGTTTATGAACCAAAGTGAGCTTAGTACAATCTGGATATAACATCCAGACTCTACTAATCAAATGAGCGGAGCGCTAAAGGTATAAACTTTCCCTAAAATAGGGTTAAATCTCAGATGTATATCAGTACATATAAAGGAAACAAAAAATAAAACACAATATAGTGTAAATCCACAGGTGGTAATGTATTTTGGTGATAATTCAAGTAGTCAAACTCACATTGATCAGAGCCTCAAAGGGACAGGCTCAAATCACTGCACAGTAGTGTCGTATGGAGACACTGCACCCTTTTGCCTGGAATGGATTTCCTCAAAGGAGAGAGAAAGGGAGACTTCCTAGTGTATTAAGTTTCAACAAAAAAATAAAAAACACAGTGGTTATGGTTGTGCTCACCTTTTCCTGAGCCAATGAGAACCTGGCTCTGGATGATAGACCTGGGTACCTCTAGAAGGGGGCACCTGCCCTTTTTTAGCAGCAAGATGAAGTTAGAAGCTGATGGGAATTGGTCAGAGCCTTAAAGGGACAGGCTCAAACCACTTGCACAGTGGTGTCGTATGGAGACACTGCACCCTTTTGCTTGGAATGGATTTCCTCAAAGGAGAGAGAAAGGGAGACTTCCTAGTGTATTACGTTTCAACCAAAAGAAAAAAAACACAGTGGTTATGGTTGTGCTCATCTTTTCCTGAGCCAATGAGAACCTGGCTCTGGATGATAGACCTGGGTACCTCTAGAGGGGGGCACCTGCCCTTCTTTAGCAGCAAGATGAAGTTAGAAGCTGATTTAAATATGCCGGTTTCTTCATCCAGTGGGCGGTCCTCCCATCCCATCCTCCAATCCGGATTTAGCTTATTGTGAGGTCAATTTCCTCACCTTCCTTTCATCAGGGTGATCAGGATCACTTCCACTCTCACTGCAGCCATCTAGCTTGTGGGCACATACCCTCAAGCAAAAAAAAAAAAAAAGTGGCAGAATAGGTTGGTTTGCCAACACCCATCACCCTAAGTTAAATACATACATATTCCACCCTTTTAAATTGTGCTCAGCACATAATAGAGAAAATGAATAAAACAGAGAAAAGAGGAAGGAAAAAACACACATTGGTACATATTAGTATCTTCTCATACAGTTTCATACTTGTTCTTAACAGTATCTATAGTAAATACATATATTGCAGAATGGATTTCTTCCCTATTCATTGTATATTGATTTCATTAATCTTTGTCAATTAAAAGTTAAAGTGATATAATCAATAAAAAATAATTACATTTGTTTCTGTTACAGTTTCTGTAAATTTTATGAAAAATGGATATAAAATTAATATAAAGGCAATCTTCTTATATTACTTAAATTATTAACATTCTTAATATCGTCAATACTCAATGTGCAGAAAAGTGCATATATTTCATGATCAATATTCATTTCCAGTTTTTGTACTAGGGATGAAATCACTCCGCTAAGTGTGTAGTTAATTTCCAATATTTCTAATTAAAATTTAGTATTTAGAAGTTTAAAAAAGTAAAAAGAATAATTTCTTAAAGGGACAGATAGGAGAGTAATTTTTAGATAAAATGGCATATCTCAAAGTCATTATTGAGGCCACCTGGAATTAGTTAAAAATCCATTTCATCTCTACCTGTCCCATTTTTTAAATAAGATCGTCCCCTCTCCAGGCTAGTTTATGATGCTCAATTGTGGAATTGTATTTCTGGGTACCTCTGAATATAAGCATGGGTGTCTGTGTTAGTATTAGTGTATTTCCATTTGCAAATGGGTGTGTATGGGTGTGTGCACATTTGTGTACGCCTGTAAAAAGTAATTGAAAAATGCATAGCGTATAAGGCATTAGCAAACACAAAAATGTGTTAATGATTGTGTTTGTGGGTAAGATGTTATCAGCACAGCATGGGTAACTTCTTGTTCCTGGATGTTCCTGTTAGCCACCTGTTACTTGTATGTTTTGTTTAAATATTATACAGCACTGTGGATTATGTTGCCACTTGGTAAAATAATAGTGATAATGTTTATGTATGTCTTTGTGTGTGGGTATGTGCCATTTGGCATGAATGTAGCTGAGTAACTCCATCCTAAAACTGTCACCTTTCAAAACAAGATTGTCATTCTAAAGAAATGTCGAACCTTGGGACAAAATAAATGAAGACAATATTTGAATATATTACACTCCTGTACACTGCAGCATACACAATTGATACCTGAGATGCCTTCTACTTAATCAAGCATGCCTACATCAGACACCTTGGAGTATTTTATGTAATTAACCTCTGAAATATATGATGTTTTTAGATTGTCCATGAAAAGTAATGTGTAATGAAATGTTTCTTTTGTCTATTGTCTAATACTTTTTATACTGTATTGTGTGTCGAGAGCCAGCACTAACCAACCTCCTCTCCTGCAGCGTATCTTCCTCACTGGGCAGTTGTTATCCCTGCTGTTTGCCTTCCTGTTTCGCTGGTATGTGTCTCCAGCAACATGTGGTCCAAACCTCAGACACGGTGTTGCCTTTCTGCTGGGCATCTGTCTATCCCTCTACTGTTTTGGCTGGTGAGATACAATGAAGAACACTGCTATTCTTTAACTGAACACTAGGCACCAAGTAAGTGCCAGAGTGGCACACTCATGCATGATATTGTACAGTGTCCCAACTTTATAACTACAACTGTTCCCTTCCTAAATGGCAGCACTATGCAGTCAATTTGTCAGTGGTTTCTATAAGCTTCATGAGTGTAATGCAAATGTATAATTTTATAATTATTATTACCACTGCTGATGTTAATAACAATGTTATTAGTTGTTTTATGATATCTTATTATGCAATTATCCATTTGATACTAAGTGGCACAGTTTCAGATAAAAGTAGCAATTTTACTGACTATCTGCATGTCTTTATTACACTACTTATATTTGATTGGTTCTGTACAGGTGGATTTACATTATAGCATTATTAGTAATAAAGGTTACATTTTAAATATATCTACATCTACCAATATCTTCCAATTTCAATTAATGTACAAATTAAAGGTCTATCCCCCAATTTTGGGATGAGTACAGAGTAAGAAATACAAGCACTTTAAGCAGCCATGAATTGTCCAATTGTTTTATGATAACTAAAAATAAACATCATCAACACTATATTTAGCCACAGAAAACCACAATTTACCCAAATACGTAATCAATAGAGTTTTTATATAACTTTTTGTGTGTAATCAGAAGCCGTTTCTCTATTAAACTCATATTGAATTGCCCACTTTTCTCCCACTGTATGTCTTTGAATATCATATCCAAATCTTAGTGCTAATGAATGCTTGTTTTTGAAAAATCCAATAAATTGGATTACCAAATCAGGTTTAAAGGAACACTATAGTGTTAGGAATTGCAGTCAAAAGCTGAATTTACTTACCTTTTCTCCCTCGCCGTGCCGGTCTTGCCACTCCTGACCCAGCCTCCGTGACTGAGAACATCAGTCTTTATGATCTCAGCTAATCCAATGCTTTTCTATAGGAAAGCATTGGGAGGCTACCGTACATGCCCTGCAAACGCTGCACTGCGCCAATCAGCATATGCTCATAGAGATGCCTTGAATCAATGCATCTCTTTGGGGAATGTTCAACGCTTCCTTGCAAAGTGAAGAGACGCTGAATGTAGGTGCAACGCTAAGATAGCAAGCAAATTTAGTGGCCTTCTGAGTGACGGCCACTAGAGTTGTTACTAGGCAACAAAAACAAGACAGGGTGTACATAAAAAAGCTTGCAGGGACAGACTATAGACATCAGAACAACTACATTAAGCTGTAGTGGTTCTGGTGACTATAGAGTCCCTTTAACCCCTTAAGGACACATGACATGTGTGACATGTCATGATTCCCTTTTATTCCAGAAGTTTGGTCCTTAAGGGGTTAAGCAAGCTTTGTTGTTGAAAATCTTGCACATTCTGATAACGGATAATATTTTTTTACTTCTCCATTGTTGTACTGGTTGTTGTGCCCCACCCTTAGTTGTGCCCCACACTCACATGCTTTCCTCTATTTTTATCAGGCTTTCCTTATTTCTGATAGGCGAGGTGGTCCTTGGGTATCTCTTACTTATTATTGCTGACCCAAGAAGAGTTCATGTGTAAGTCTAAAAGAAGAATTATTATATTTTTAGATATTGTACCCCTGACCCATAATATTGATACCTAATGCTGATCTCCACAGGTTCACGTTGCTGATGAGCATGACATATCTAACAGTTTTCCACATCAGAAGATATTTATACCCAACAGATGAAGAGCTGGACTTCACTGTGTAAGAAAGGCTGGAAAAAATTAGTTGCATGTTTATATGGACAGTGCAATTAACTTTAAAAATGTTGATATTAAAATTATGACTTTAAAAACTATGGTTGTTGTCACGGCAAGGGTGCATAATTTATTATTGCACTATGGAATATTGTCCTTTAATGTTAAAAGGGGTTAATTTGATTGTATGGAAGGTCAGAAGGTTTAAATTGCATAGGAATGAGAAAAGTGATTAATCAAATGCTCTGCAAGGTGTGAGATTCTACACTTGAAAAGCCTGACTGTCTGGCTTCAGCCATATGGCTTGTACTTCTTGATTGATGCATCAATCTCTTTAATATGTTAATGGCCATTAGCCTTGTTCCAGTATTATATCCAAAAGAAAAAACATTAATATTTACCCACAGAATAATAATTAAGCCTTATTTTTGCTATATTTGGAGTGTGACAAGCGCCATCTTCTAAACAAGCCTGAACATGTTTGGCATAACCATCATGTGATGACCACTATATTGGGTCGCAAGTAAGTATGGAAAAATAATAACAAGTTTGTAGATGCAATTACTGTTTCTGTGGCAGGTACATAAGAGAAGATAGAACCAAATGTTTCCATTTGGATTGATGTGGATTTGGACACAAGGGTGTGGTCACTTAGTGTCTCTATAGATAAGCCTTAATTCCACCTCTGGGTAATCCACAGGGTATATCTCTAATGATAATGGCACCCCATTTATAAATTGTCTTGGTGGTGGCAGCGTTAAAAATAGTAATATTTATATTATTATGCTTAAGTGTGGGTGGTGTTAAGGGGGATTTTATCATTATTTCTGGTCTAGTGCAGACAAATAGTGAACTTTAACCCTTTCACCACCACAACTACGTCACGCACACTCTTCAAGTAGGGTGTGTTTGTGACAGTTGTTATATCAGTGCTCTATGTTTAAACAAGCATTCCTCCATAATAGAATTGTTGTGGGCACTTCTGTACCCAGTGCAGTAATTATGTGCACAGCACCCAATACATTACTTATGTTAGTAGCAGGGTTAGGTGGACTTGGGATTGGAGGTTTAGGGTAGTGGTGTTTTGCTTTCTAAGAATCGTGGGCGTTATGTACAATGATTGCATGTCATTACAGTGGATAAGATGGATTTACTGTTAGGTGGCTTAGGTTTGTTTGCCTAGTTTCTGAGTTACAATACATAGTGTTTTGAAGACAGATAAATATTCTATAAGTATATACTAAATGCTCAAAGAATAGCCTGCAGCAGAAAGTAAAATAAGGCTAGACAATATTGGAAGGCTAAAAATAAGAAGAAAAAAGTGTATTAAGAAGTAAACACTACCTGTTGGTGAAAAACAATTAAAAAGGCAACAGTTCTGAAACCCTGTGCAAATCAAATCCTTACCCTATAATTTTAATTCCTTACTCATATATAAGGACTTAAAGCGGCACTGTCATGCCAAACTTACCTTTCTTCAATCGATTCATCTTCTCTCCCTCTGTCAGGATCTGTTCTTCATTTCTTCCTGTCTGCTCTAGTTTTCTTTAAAACGTAAGACGAAGTAGGGACTACTTTGTCTTATGACGGTTTCCTATGCCTGACCATCTATGACCAGTGGAGGAACAAAGTATGCTCCATTTCTGGTGGTCAGAACAATTTTCCCACAATTCTCACCTTTCCTCTGTGATCTTGCGAAGCTTCCTGTCAGTATTCCCGAACGTCCTGTCGCTTAGACAGAACGCTGGCGAAACTACCGAATTTCGTCCTAACAGAATGAGAACAGTTTGTTCATTCATGTTAAGATGCAATTCAGGACATTGTTTATATCGGAATTTAATTCTAATGAATGAAACTCCGATCCTATTCATGCCGCGGCTGCATCTTGCAATCGCTTAGTAGATAGCTCCCTAATTCCCACGGTATTAGGGAGCTATCTACCAAAATATTGAAACATCTAAATTGGTCTTTTAGCCAAATGTAGTAATACTAAGTAAAGATTACTTAGTATTAGTAAATTCTGCCCCTAGTCGCTATACCGTGAGTAGGGGCATGTCTAGTAAACAGTGAGCAGCCATCCACGGCTCAGGGGTGGGGGCCGCGAAGGAGGACAATAGGTCCCCCCCTTATTGTTATTTAGGGCCCCCACCTGCCGCTCAGGGGTGGGGGCCAGGGGGTGGACAATAGGTCCCCCCCTACATTTTCATTTAGGTCCCCCATTCAGTTTAATAGCCCGCACATGCACTGCACGGGTGGGGGACCTAAATGAAAATGTAGGGGGGACCTATTGTCCGCCCCTACAAATAATGTAATTTACGTGCTACCCATTGTGAAGTAAGAATTTAAAAATAAGGTTTATCTCAAAAATAAAATACACCAGAGCTGCAAGATTTTTTTTATGCTCTTTTTATTATAATTTAAAAGCAGAACTAAACATGCAAACCCATTTCTGTTTTTTCAGGCCTTTGATGATGTTGACACAGAAAATCAGCAAAGTGGCCTTTGAATTTCACGATGGTAAAACATCTGCAGTTCTGTGTGAATGACATAATGCTTAGAGAGGAAGGGGAGAACCATAGATTTGATGTTGCTATTATCACATACCTGATATATATATATACTAAATAGTGATAAACTAAATATCAGATTGCTACATATTTTCAGTATATATCAAAATAAATGGTGTTCTTCATTTTAGCTATTTTTTTGCAAAATGGGATCTTTGGGGAAGATTTTACTTTGATTTTTATTCCACTAGAATCTGATGTTTAGTTTTGCTCATAAACTTGATTTTGCATTGCAAATGAAGGCAGCTACAGCAAGAGGAAATTGACATGGTAGGCTCCTTTTTTTTAACACCAAACCCAACCTTGTGATAATTCGCTTTAAAATATTTATTTGAATGGATTATTAAAATGGATTAATAGAAATATCACTGTATATACGGAAATCATGAAACAGAACCTGAAATGTTGTGAGGTCATTTGCAGAACCTTGATATAAACATGCAGCTACCATACGAAGGTCTTTATTCAAGGAGCTTGCCAATTTACGCATTAATTTGCCCACATAAACGTTTTTTAAAATATTAAGAATTATCCCCATTACAGTGCAAATGTAAAAATAATCTATTATACACATTATAATGTGAAATCGGTGTAGCGCTATATACATACATATAGTAGGGTTGAGCCTAATAGAATAGTCAGGCTTCCAAATGAGGGCAATTCCAATATCTTATATAGTCCACCTAAAATAAGCAAAAAGAACTCTAATAGTGTAACACTGTAAATAAAAATGATAGTGAGAGTCAAATAAAATAACAAACTCACATTCTTCTGAGCTAAATGCCAAGCTCAGGAATAAGTGCGTGTAGGTCCGTACAGGCGACCTTCCCCTTCTTCTTATCTGATGTTTATCCGTGTATGATACCCGATCACATGACTGAGAGGGATGATGTCATATGAGGAAGTGATCCGGATGTAAACAGAGGCGTGGAACGCATATACTGATCGGGCGTGTACCGAACAAGCGCGCCTTTTTCAAATGACAGAACAACAGAAGAAGGAAACTATATAAGCAGGACCATTGCACTTTAGGAAGACCTATTGAATCCAGCTGAGGAAGCCGTCGGAGTTACGGTGAAACGCGTTCTGGAAAGAAGTGTACGATATTGTTATGCCCATTTGTTATTTATTTGTTTATTTTACATTTTTCTGCGCTTTGTATTTTGGCGTTTTAATTTACTATAGAGGGTTTTTCTATACCCTTGTAATGTAATAAATTATATATATACTTTTTAATTATTATATGGGCTTTTTCTGGTTCCTGCTTTGAAAAGTTCTACATTTTATTCAACGCGCAGAGACAGAGCCGATATAGAGGCTCCATTTTTGTGAGTATACTATAGACTTTAAGTAGTAATATTGTATACAGACATTCTACACTATATATCTGTTTCACTTGAGTCCTAGAGACGATCTGAGATAAACATCAGATAAGAAGAAGGGGAAGGTCGCCTGTACGGACCTACACGCACTTATTCCTGAGCTTGGCATTTAGCTCAGAAGAATGTGAGTTTGTTATTTTATTTGACTCTCACTATCATTTTTATTTACAGTGTTACACTATTAGAGTTCTTTTTGCTTATTTTAGGTGGACTATATAAGATATTGGAATTGCCCTCATTTGGAAGCCTGACTATTCTATTAGGCTCAACCCTACTATATGTATGTATATAGCGCTACACCGATTTCACATTGTTTTTACCTTTTTCCTATATTTATGTAAATAAGAAAGATTACATCTAGGTGTTACAGCAGCTTGGTCTAAATATAACATTTTTTGTTAGACTGTTTAATTTAATTATAGCGCCAGTGCATTACTTGTATTTTTATTATACACATTATGATGACAAATATCTTCATTATTGTGAATGTGAACAGGAAAAATAAATATTTAAGCAGGTCATTAGAATAGAGAACAATAATAATATTACTGTTCATACATTTTGAAAAAAATGGTATGTTTGGCAGTTCCATTGTGAATTATGTTCCCTTCTTTATGATATAGGCACTGTTCGGACCGACCAATCGCTTAGCCCTACACAGAAACGTCTTGCTATACAGTAAGTTTTAGTTATAATTTATGCTGTTGGCTTACCACAATCTTCTCTTCCATTTCACAATATCTTTTTATATTTCTTTCTGTCTTTAGGTCTCAACCACCTCTACTTACATACCTCAGCTATACCCTTGGGTTTCTGGGCCTGTTGGCTGGTCCCGTCTGTTCATTCAATGATTACCAGATATTCATTCATGGTAATGAAAAATGGAAGAACCCAGTGGTGAGTGATTTTTTTTTTGTATGCATTATCACTGTGTTTATTTGTATTATATATTCTATGTCTTATAGGCAGTACTCGGCATGACCCATATTCACAAGATATACTTCAGAGTCTAATGAGAAAGATAGGAAAGGATAAAAGGGATTTAAACAATTATTTTCAGTCCTTAGAGTGACTGAGCTTAATGGAACAGTTTCAATGAGGTTTAAAAACAGAACACAGAAATTCTGGCTGGCAATGTGAAAATACAAGCTATGGTCTGGGTTTCAGAACTAACACATAATGAGCAAAGTTAAGGAGTTCAGAGAATAGAAGACTCAAAATTTGTGGAATCATATAATCAAAGCACCAATGCACTCAGAAACATATTTAAGGATTGCAAGAACCATGATAGAGCAAGACCCACTAAGTGATGCGAGCATGATAGCTTCATCACTTTGGCTTCTCCTGTTTAATTACGGAGCAAAATATCACGGAAATCATCTGCAGAACAGATTCAATGAGACTGATGATGACAAGAAGTCACAAACAAGATCTGCCATAACTGGAAAATGCCTGGAACAATCCAGCATCAATCAGTCTAGAAGTCAAGAAGCTACAATTTGGGTGGCATTCAGTGTAGGTACCTTAGCATGAGATTGCAGTAGCCCAAATTTATACGTATAGTATAAAATTTATATTCTAAAAAGGTCCAACAAGTTCAAGTTTTCCATTTCTGCCATTGAACATAATGATTATAAAAGCCAATTTATAGTGATTTCCAACTGTGCTGCAAAAACGTTCAAACCGTTTGATCTCTAATTCAGTCAACCCTGCATATTAGCTATCACCAACCTGAAAATCCTGTTTGACTAATTGGCATCAGCTTATTTTTCTTTAAAGATATCTACCAAATCTGATAAAACAAACTCTTTAGGCCAAAGGTAGGCAACCTTTGGCACTCCAGATGTTGCGGAGAAAATCTACGAAAATTATGGCAAAGCATTAGGGGAACTGTAGTCCATAACATCTGGAGTGCCGAAAGTTGCCTACCTCTGCTTTAGGCACATAGAATTTCTACTGCTGTAGACAATACCACCTTTCTTCAAGTCTGAGATGATGGCGTTTTGTCATTTGTGCAGCTTTGTTAATGCACAGATCACTAGAGAGCTGATTTCTGAGCATTCCATGCACTAAACAATATCTTGACACTGCATGCTCAAGTACAGTGATTACCTTTAAAAAAAACTGATGTTTAAAAATCAAGTTAAAAACTATAAAGGACAATGATGACCTGACCTGAATGCACATTGAGAGAGAATTTACCTACTTGAGATTGGAGGAAGTTGTTCATTTTTTTTTTTTTTTTTGTAAATCTGTTTTTATTGAAGATTTTGACAATAGATACATATAACAGTAGGGTATGTCAGGTGGGACACGCAGGTCACCATCATAGCAAGATCATGAGCATTACATTTGTGTGACATGCGTTCTCGTGAGGTTCTTGGGTGTAGCTAGTGTATCTCTCTGAGTGTTTTAGCCTGTGGCCTCCACTTTTAGATTTCCTCATGACCTTGTTCCACTCCCTTAGGTGTTATGGAGTTCGTCACCTTTTCACTGGACTATTTTCATGCATTTGCCCATGTTTTGGACCTAAGGCCCATCCCATATATATTTGGAGCTGCGTCAACCCCGATAGGGTGTGATCCTATTCTGACTTGTCGGTTATGCCCGACCGTTGGCTCTGATTAGGGTATAATTGTCATCTTCATTTTAGGTAAGGTGTGATCAATAGTGTTGTAGCTGTGTTTATGATCATTGTCACTGCCGCGTTCAATGTGTTATGGATCACAGCTATTTGTATTGCGTGTCTTGTAGGGTGTCAATGAGTCTGTTGAGTGGGCGGGTGTCCTAGGTTGTTTCTCCTTTTTCTCTTGTGAGCGTTGTGGTGGTTGAGTGTTGACAAAGTGTCGTCTATTTTCCATGGTGGTGTACTCTCTTCGCTCCTGGTTTATGGTTGGGTTGGGGGGAAGGTGGCAGAAGGAAAGGATAGGTAGGGGTTGTTAGTGAGAGTTCCATGTTACGAGGGGCCCGGGCTCGTCGGCCCTCCACCTCGGCTCCGCAAGCGCCCCCGTCCTGTGAGTATCAGGTGATATATACAAACCACAGTTGTCACATTTCCACGTGTTTAGTTTCTCTGCCCGTTAGGGAGGCATGAAGTACCTCCGCGCTCTGGATGTCTTGCACTCGCCGGATCCATTCTTTTTTCGTTGGGATGTTGGTTGTTTTCCAGTAGGCCGGTATTGACGCTTTAGCCGCATTCAAGAGGTGTTGAAGTATTGATTTTTTATAGCTCGAGATCGTTTGTTGGGAGATAAGTAGGAGGGCGAGTTCTGCAGACCAGTCTGGGACATCCCCCAGCACCAGAGTCACCTCAGTTTTTACCATGTCCCAATATGGGAGTATGTCGCGGCATTCCCACCATATATGTAGTAGTGTGCCTCTTTCCTCCTGGCATTTCCAGCATGTTGGTGGCACCGCCGGGAAAATCCGATGTATTACGATTGGTGTTCTATAGTTGATAGTTTACCTCTTGGTAGTAGGAGCTCATGGAGCTTTTATGTTGCCATATCGGAGCTCTATCCCTTTGTGGCGTAGTGAATGTCTTACCTAGGGACTCCTCCCATTGTCTCCGGAAGGTGTTATTGTTTGTTTGGGTATCCGTTATTAGTTGTTGGAATAGCGTAGAAACCGCATGGTCCAGTCTGGTTCCTTGTTTGGAGGAAGTTGTTCATAGCACTATGAAACAAGGCACTTCATAACCCAAACTCTTCTTTAAACAAGCTAAATATTTATCATCATTTAAATTCAATACAAATCCTCATAGATTGTAAGCTCGTTTGAGCTGGGCCTTCTTCATATACCCTTTTCTAATTGTAAAGCACAACAGCACATGTTGGTGCTAAATCAATGCTAATACTTATTTTATAAGAAATATATAAAATAACTAATCTTTTTCAATATAAGGTTTTAAGGGATACAAATAAAGATCTGTCTGCACCACATTAGACTACACATATCACTGAACAGATGATATGGTATCACAGGCATTTTGGATTAATAAAGTCAAGCCAAATGCTCACATGATCTCTAGCTGCATGGAATTGACCACATGTCTACGCCTGTAAAAAATATGCATCACATTTTCCCCTAGCACAGATACAGCACACAGGACCTCAATTCCACTCTGCTTGCTGTATCCTGTCTTATACCACACCCCTGGCACTTCTATTTTAGGACATCAATGCTCAGACTCCAGCCACACAGTTTTATTCCAAAATGTTATAGTGTTGCTATAAATCAGTAATAGTAATAGTTTACACCCTAAATGTTTCTGAACTACATATTCCTTTGATGTTCGTACAGCCTTACAGATGTCTGAGAATCATGGGAAATGTAGTGCAGACACATCTGCGGAAAAAGCTTGGCCATCACCAGGATGACGTAATAGCATTAAGATCCAAAAAACTATTATTCATAGTCCTGGAATATTACTGATAGTCACCAAACATTGGGACATAATCCAGTAAAAAATGACCGGATTCCAACCAGAATGGCAATTCTCAGATTTATTAATATTTACCAAATATGTAACAATAGTCCAGATGCACTAAATTTGCCAACCCCCACCTATGGGTGTTGGCTCCAAAAAAATAAATAATGGGAGAGGGCATGCCATTGTCAACCCCCACAAAGAGCAAATAGTGGCATGTCTTCCACCCCGGTTGGCTAGCGGTCCCCAATCCGCTAGCCATCACCTCATTAAAAATAAAGAATCCTACCTCCCTCTTCACCCTAATAATAGTAAGGGAGACAATAAAACTAATACCTGTTAAAAAATTGTACTTACCATCAGAAGAACACTTTCTTCTAACTTATTTTCCTTGGCCCCAGAAAAGGCCAAATTCAAATACAAATCCACACACAACTAAAAAAACAAAAACAAAAAAAAACCCTGTTTGCAAAATTTAAAAAAAAAAAAGATCATTTTCACCCCGCAAGGGCATGAGCTCTCAGGGTGGGAAAATCATTTCTAAAGGCTTTCCAATGGTACGTAATATCAGGAGCTTGAAAACTGGTCAATTAGAGTGCTCTAACAGCCAAATCTGAAAAGAAGTCTGCCCATCCCCTATTATTGATTTGAATGCTCCCCGCCCCATTATTTCACAAGCCACTTTCTATTGGTGATGCCCAGTCCCTAGTTTTAAAAAGTTTAGCTTATATGGCCCCGGCAAGTGGTGGCCAACCTCTACATAATTAGCCTTCACACTGCCAAGAGTTACTTAAAGGGATTCTCCAGTGCCAGGAAACCCTTTTGCATGACTCCCAATTCTGTGAAAACCTCACCAATGATATGCACAGATACTTTATCGATAACCAAACACCCGGAATAACACCGGAGACCCTATGGCAGGCACACAAGCCAGTTATCAGGGGATCCCTCATAGGCAGAGCGAGCGCACTGAAACGTGAGTCCCAAACAAAAACAAGACACTGGCTAAAAACACTGTATACTCTCAACAAACAAAATCAGCTGACACCGACACCAGAAATTAAACAACAAATACAGGAGAAATTAGGGGAAATTAAGGAACATGACTTGGCAAAAACAGGTTATCACCTTAGGAAACTCAAGACCATGCAATATGTACAAGGTAATAGGGCGAGCAAATTACTAGCTAGGAGACTGTCACACAAAATCGCGAACACTAAGATACCATTCATCCAAAATCACACAGGGGAAAAGAAGGTGACGCCCAAGGACATTGGGGATGTCTTTGCGGATTACTACTCGTCCCTGTATAATCTTGGGAAAGACGCTAACACAAGCCAACCAACCATAGACAAAATTAAGACATACCTAGCAGGGGTCTCTCTACCGACACTGACTGAGGAACAAATAACAATAGTACAAGATACTATCACAGTGGAAGAAGTGTAGGCTATATCCCGCCTACCTAACGGGAAAGCCTCAGGCCCAGACGGGTTCCCCAACAATTACTACAAAAAATTCGCTCACACTCTAGCCCCACACCTAGCGAACGCATTCAACGCAATCACTCTCAAAGCAGAGGCAACGGCAGAGATGCTGAGCGCACACATAGTTACGCTGCCCAAACCAGGGAAACCACCCACATGTAGCCAAAACTTCAGACCAATCTCACTACTCAACACGGACATTAAACTGTATGCAAACATACAAGCTAATAGAATAGCCAACATAATCCCGATGCTAATTCATGATGATCAGGTGGGCTTTACAAAAGGCAGACAAGGATCAGACAACACCAGGAAGGTAATTGACTTGTTGTATAGCCTGATCGGAAGAGGGGAGGGGGGGATACTTTTATCATTAGACGCAGAGAAGGCCTTTGACAGGCTCAATTGGCCTTTTCTGCAGGCAGTACTTGGTAAATACAAGTTCCCCCAAACCTTAATTAATGCCGTCCGAGCACTCTACTCGCACCCCACAGCCAGAGTCCTAAACTCTGGGTTTATATCCCAAAAAATACACATCACCAATGGATCACGACAGGGGTGCCCCTATCACCGCTACTCTATATCCTGGCACTGGAACCCCTGGCAGCGGCCATTAGAGCCGACCCAGACATACAAGGAGTACACCTGGGGGATAACGAATACAAGCTTAACTTGTTCGCGGATGATATCCTAGTAACGCTAACGCAACCCATAATCTCCCTACCAAAGCTGATGACAAGAATCCAAGAGTACGGGGCAGTGTCCTATTACAAGTTAAATGTCACAAAAACCCAAGCCCAAGAATAAAATTAGGGGGCAATCTCGCAAACAGACTGGAGAGGGCATTCCCCCTAGACTGGAGACATGACTACTTAACGTTCTTGGGTCTCAAAATAACCAAGAACCCAGCCCACTTGTTCCGACACAACTATGCCCGAATGGTGAAAGAATTTTCAGACACCCTACACATGTGGAGGGGTAGGTACCTATCGTGGCTGGGCCGCGTAGCAGTAGTCAAAATGTCACTCATCCCCAAGATACAATACCTTTTCCGTACGCTCCAAATACCCATAACAAAACAATACCTGAAAAACATGCAACACACTATCAATTCATTAATTTGGGAGGGAAAAAAAGCGAGAGTAGCAGCGGGGACGCTACATCGATCAGTAAAAAATGGAGGATTAGGCTTACCCAACCTAACAGCATACCACAGGGCAGGCTACCTATATAACATCACCCAAATCAACCGGCTTACAGACGTCCCACAGTGGGTGACGATTGAAGCTAGCAAAGCACCACAAAGTGACCTACGGTCACTAATGTGGAAACAGACAGACAACAACCGGGGGCTGGACGATCTCCTACCAACTACCAAAACCATACTGAGAGTATGGAACAAAATGAAACACGAATTAGTGTCAAGACTGACATTACCCCTAGCAATGCCAATGCGCACTATTGGACTGGAGATCCCTACCTTCCCTTGGGACATGTGGGTGAAGGGTGGTATACACCACATGTACCAAGTTATAGACAGGGATCGAATACTACCATTCCCAGATATACAGGATAGACACAACCTGCCCACTAGAGCAATATTCTCCTATCTCCAGCTCAAATCTTATGTATTAGACAAATCAGGGAAACAAACGGACGCCACCGCTACGACACACATGACAGAATTCGAAAAACAATGCACGGGAATCACACCACTCAAGAAAATAATGTCATGGGGATATCAGAAACTACTAGCACAACAATCAAACACACTAGGAAAGATAAAGCTGTCGTGGCAGCGGGATATAGGCAGAACAATAACAGATAGGGAATGGGAGAGAGCATACATGGCCCATAAGGGACTCACAGCATGTGCTACACACCTGGAACTACAGCGCAAAAATTTACACGTCTGGTGGACATGCACTCAGACCATTTTGGGAAGGGGTAGCAAATATACCGCAGAAGATTCTGCCGGCCCCAAGGGTAGATGAACCACAGGTGTGTCTCTTATTTATCATACCAGAAAAAATACCAAAACAAATCAAGCTGATAATATACCACACACTAATCTCAGCTAATCTAGTGATATCTAGACACTGGAAAAAAACAATGACCCCACCTATAGAGGAGCTCGTAAAGCAGGTAGACCAAAACTGGGCTTACGAAAGAATGGCCAACACGCAATTCGGAGCACGAAAAGGAGTACTGGAGGCAAACGACCTGTGGGCAAAACATATTATAGCTCACCCACCATAACACATAACCACAACTACTCCAACGTGACCAATGGCCCCCCCAAAAAAAAAAATAGTTTAAAGAGGCACCACGAGGAGTGCCAACAGGCAAAGACACAACACACAAGCAAAGCATACCAAACCCAAGATAGGACACTCAGAGGTAGCCAAACTACGAAACACCAACAAACCTAACGGCGGGAGGGAACTGAAATGCACGACAAGGGCACACAGCAGAACCAAACATTTGCACAAGTGCCCCCCATCCCATGACGAACCTACACACAAAGGAACCCCACAGAGACAATTAGACACAAACAAAGAACTGCACACAACCTAACGCCTTAACTATACTAAAACCGACAAAAGGGAACCGATCAACAACATACCATGTACTTGTAAATTGTAAATGGAAAGCTTCTGTAAAACATCAATGTCTCTCTGGAAGCAAGGAAACCCGTGTTACGCATATATGTAGATGTTTATCCATGCTGTACATGTATGTATATGATTACACATAGCTATTGTCTGTGTATTTAGCTTGCAACATGCCCCCCCCCCCTTTTTTCCTTGTTCTGTATCCCCATGTTTTCGACCTATGTCAAAATAAAAATTGTCATTTGCAAAAAAAAAAAAACCTGAAGGACCTGGCACCCAGACCACTTTATTGAGCTGAAGTGGTCTGGGTGACTATAGTGTCCCTTTAAATAGCATGAACAGTGCCAGGATTTTGCATTCCTTTCCATAAAGTGCACTCAATCCCATCACTCTGAGCCAGGATTAGCACCAGGTCCCAGATACCATATACAGGAAACCAGAGAGGTTCAGGCACGCCAAGGTTCAAGAAGGCAATTTATTCAAACCCACACTGTCACACTGCAACGTTTCGACCTACAAGGTCTTTGTCAAGCTTGACAAAGACCTCGGCGGTCGAGACCTTGCGGTGTGAAATTGGGTTTGAATAGATTGCCTTCTTGAACCTTGGAGTGCCTGAACCCCTCTTTGTTTTCTGTATAAGATTTTGCCTTCCGACTGGATATGATGCAGTTGCATGGTTTTGCCTCATTTGGTACAAAGTAACATGGACTATAGTGAATAACTCCAATAGTGTTGAACATTTATGAAACAGCCCATTTGTATGGAAAAGCCTACTGTTTTTACCACCGCTACATTTTGTTATCTGTTGCAAGCAGGAGCACTGTAGGAAATTAACCAGCCCTTGTTTTTCAGTAATACAAGCTTGAGTAACTATTTGACATACTCAAATAATCATTGCAACATGTTCCCCTTGCACTGAAATGCTCAGTTTCAATTGCCTGACATAATTTTGCCCAGATTAAGAATGTGTGCGTGGTGTGTGTGGACAATGCCTCTGCTTATCACAGCACACAGCCCAGCTCACTAAACAATTAATTGGGTTGTGTGTAAATGAATAGTACCAGCATGGTGCTGAGTAGAATGACTTTTGGGGGACAAACTTCTTATCTAATAAACTCTTGCAGTACATACATTAATGGGATAAAAATATACCCCAGCCAGAGACACTCCTAATTGGAGCATCACTCCATGATAAGGGAGAAATCTGGTTGTAGCTGCATCTACAGGGAACTTGGAAAAGGTAGTCATTTTTATTTTATTTGAACTATTTTTTTAAATTGTCATATTACTTGTTAAATACATTAGCTTTATAATGCTTTATAATTTATGTAAAAAAAAAAATAGTGGTTAATAGCAACACCATAGCTTCCCTTTAACAATGTCAGTGTCAATAAAAATGCAGAATTACACAAGATATGCACATGTCTAACTCATGTGTGCATTTAGGTGAAGAAAAAGAGGAAATTCCCTTTCTTTTTTTTTTCTCCCTAATACAACCAGACTACCGGCAAACACTGACATTGCACATATATCCTGTGTCTATTAATTTTCTGGCACATGTTCAGTGATGCACGAGATTCAGGAAACAAGCATTTTCCGGTAGAGAATGTATACTTTGATTGCATACACAGGTACCTACTTTAACGAAGTTTGTTACGTCTAAGAATGGCATTTAGGTACCTATAGTAACCATCATATTGCAAGAGCACATTTTAACTATAAAGGAAATTGTAACAACAACAGAAATACATATTTAAAACAAATTCAGCAAAACAGTTTTATAAATAGTGTCGAGACGCAACAGAAACTAAAGTTGCAGTGTCTATAAGGAAGGAGGGGACAGAAAGGGTAAACGAGCTGAAACACTGTAACTGGAGTAATAAAATGTTTAATAATAATTGTAGATTATGCTAACGTAGTGTACTAATAAGCTTTATTTTAGTAATGACAGGAGGCGAGTATTTTGCATTGACATTCTTTACTTAAACCTCCAGCAGCAAGTCAATCAAACTTTTTAAATCAATCAAAAAACAACAGTCATGACAGATATAAGGTAGGACAGCCCTCAATTCTTCCTCTTTCTTTGGTGTGAATGTAGATAGTCCCTTTAACTGGAAACAGAAAACTGTAGAAACTTGAGAATCCTGACAACTCCGAACTGTAACCATTGTGAGAGGAAAGTACCTTCAGCTTGTAGTTGATGGAAGTATTCATACTGAAAAGAAGAAGAAATAAGTGAATGGTATTGGTAGTGACCCTGATTCCACATCTCACTCTTGTCCATAACTACATCTTATAGTGTTTATAAATTGACTACTTTGAAAACTCAAATGAAAGTATCTTCAGGACTCTTTGGTGAAGAGAGTTTTTCGTCATCGATCAGGGCCTCGCAGTCCGTAGTGGTGTCTGCATCTGGTTCAGTAGGGTGTGGAACTCAATGATGTAACCCTGAATGCGTCTGACGATAGTTTTTAAAAGTCCTGTAAACCTGCATGCAGTTAGTATAGAGACTTTTGTATGGACTCACCTGTGCCTCGACCTCTGCCTCGGTAGCCTCTGGTTCTGTTTGTGCCCCGGTAGTAGGAGGAGGCCCGGAAGTGGATGTAGGGTAGAAGGCAGAAGATGGTGGGTTAGGTATGGAGCCTGCATTCCAAATTCGGCTGGTGGTTCGGCTCCGCTGCTGACCAGCCCTCCCAAAAACACCACCTCCTGGTGTTGGGCCTTAATGAAGGTGGTAAACAATGAAACATGTTTCTTGAGCTCTGATATGAATGTGTCCCCAAAACGCTCACTGTTGGTTAAAGATCCCAGTTCTGTATGGGCCATATTCATCAGTTTCGAGTTGATTCTTAACAGTGCAGTCCTTTCTCTTTCAGTGCACAATGCTGCGTTGGCGTTCCCCAGCATGCAGATCCTCGGTTGGACCCATTCCCTGATGGTGTTGGGGTCTAGCTATGTACCCTGTGACAGCACCAGGTCCACGAAATATATGATCTTGACGATGGGGCAAAGTAGATCCAGCAGCTTGTCCTGAGAGGCTTTTAGGCCCTTCTCGATCCCTTTTCGTGGGTCGCGTCCCATCCGGGACATGAAAACTACCACCGTCTGACCACAATCGGCGGTAAACACTTAGGGGTTATGTCTGGCAGCATGGGATGTGGCATTCTGCCCTATGACGTGCACGTACCACCTGGTCTAATGGCTTGGGCATCCAGAAATGTACAAACTTGGCCAGGTGGGTTGGCAGGGTCCACTCCGAGGATCGTGGGTTGCGGATGGTCCATGGATCAAATAGAGGGCAACCTTGAGTGTCTAAGAACAGCTCTACGCCTTCCAATGTGAACGATCCCTGTGTATCTTGCGAGAAGGCGTCCTCCGCAAAGGATTCCTTAACATATTTTGATTCCGAGTATGGAACATCTTGCCAACCACCTTCGTCATCCGAATCAGAGGCATCTGCCTGCCATTCGTCGATGATGTCAAGATTCTGGAGGTAGGCTTAATCCTCCTCCGAGTAAACTACTGGTGGGGGTAGTTATTGTCTAGCCGTATGTTTGCTACATTTAGCAGGTGCCTTTCCTTTCGTCCAAGCGTGTGATACAGTGAGTCCAGCTCATTGACATTTTGGAAGGGATAGGGGGTCCTTAGAGGGAACCTCAGAGCCCATAGTGTCATCCGCGTCTTGTGGTTTTGGCCCCATAGTTCGAGTGGATAAGTCAGATGGAAGAGCCTGGTATATAGGTTTATGCCAACACCTCTATGTGTGCTCTGTGAGGGTTCAGACACCGGTCATATTGAGCGGTTTATTATAGAAGGGATGATACCTTTGTAAATTATGGGGAGGCATTAAGAGACTCCAATAGCCAAAGTCCCCAGTGGGGAGGTACCGTATATACGTGGGTGTATTGCAGTCCTGGTAATGCCTCATGTATTTACTTCCAGGAGCGCAGTTTGGTAGGTACCGCAGTCAGGGTTTTACCCCTATCGCCCATAAGGTCAAGAGTGAATCTGCAGGGCATTTGGGTTTACCACTTTAAGAAACAGGTGTCTTACCCCTAGGTGCAGCTGTAGCAAGCAGTCTGCACACCGGGCATATCCAGCACATATACAAAATTACTATCAGGTTGTAGTCTTGGCATGAATTGTAAGCATCAAAAACAAGTACCAGTTGTATAGAGGTTAATCCTTGTAATAAATCTTGTCAACGTACAGTAATTGTTCCTACAGCATGAAATTATACATAGATAGAAATCATTGCAGCATAAAACTTAAAAATTGGCTGTAAATTCACCTTGAATGAAGGTTCTGTGTGCCTGAATGTGAGCTGTAGGAGGTATCTCCACTTGCGGTAAGCTGCAGGCCATGATTACCGAGCGCATTTAATGAAAAAACAAAATTGCCGCCGTGAATCTCGCGAGATCCAAGATGGCCGCCGCGCACGAGGATCCGGCGGGAAAAACTCCCACAGGTCAGAGAATGAGTGCCGCGATAGAGAAGCCCTGACAGCCCTAGGAATTAATGTGTTAGCCACAGAGACCCCCAAAAGCCCGAAAACATTGCGGCCGAGACCAAAGTATACAGTATACAGATGGAGAAAAGTGAGAGGCCAGGGAGCCACAGCAAATAGGTGTAGGGTGACAGGAAAGGTACAAACACGATATAACGTTGTTAGATAGGAAGTACAGGGAGCACAAGCCAATAGAATAGGTTAAGCAACCCTAAAGAGACCGTGGTAAAATAAATTACAGTACATAAAACAGTCAAATTAGGATTATAAAAGAGTGTCCAGCTAAGAAACATATACTCTGACCTGTTCCTGCAGGAGCACCAAAGAAAGAGGAAGGATTGGGGGCTGTTGAACCTTATATCTTTTATGATTGTTGTTTTCTGATTGGTTTAAAAAGTTTGATTGACTTGTTGCTGCTGGAGTTTTAAGTAAAGAAAGTCAATACAAAATATTAAGCCTCCTGTCATGTGGTAAAATTATTGATATGTATGTTTTGAGTGCTACTGCCATGTATGACACCAGTGTACAAATATTACACCTTATTTAAAGGGACACTATAGTCACCAGAACAACTACAGCTTATTGAATTTGTTCTGGTGGGTAGAATCATTACCTTCAGGCTTTTTGCTGTAAACACTTTTCAGAGAAAATGCAGTGTTTACATTACAGCCTAGTGATAACTTCACTGGACACTACTTAGATGGCTGTTAGAGATCCTTCCTGCGTCATGGCTGCCTAAATGCATCCAAACATTCAGTGTCTCCTCCATCTGCATGCAGACACTGAACTTTCCTCATAGAGATTCATTGATTCAATTCATTTCTTTGAGGAGATGCTGACTGGCCAGGGTTGTGTTTGAATCATGCTGGCTCTGCCCCTGATCTGCCTCTTTTCAGTCTCAGCCAATCCTATGGGGAAGCATTATGATTGGATCAGGCTACCACTTCTGATGATGTCAGCAGACTGCTTGTTTTTCTGAGTCAAACAGCATGCAGAGTTACAGCTTCTAGATTGAATACAGTTAGATGTTGCTATATTTATGAAGGCATGAGGGGCTCAGGGGGGCTAAATGGTGGTTTTAACACTAAAGGGCCAGGAATACACGTTTGTGTTCCTGACCCTATAGTTATCCTTTAACCGCACATCTGTGAGAATATTCATTAACAGGGAGCAGTGAGTTAATTGCTCATTTAAAAAAGATCGGACAAAAATGCTAACTTTCATTCCACCTTGCATTAATAAACCTTTTTGATATGTTTTGATATTGTTTGATACAGTGTGTTTCTGTTCCCCAGGTGGCAGTCTGCAGAAAACTGATGCTTTGTTCACTCCTTCTTGTTGCTCACCTAACATTCTCAGATCGGTTCCTGTTGTTTAATGATCCACAACGCTCTGTGATTGGCACCTTTTTCTACCTCTATGTTGCTGGAGCCTCAAGAAGACCCAAATACTATTTTGCCTGGACCATGGGTAAGATATCATTGCCTGTCAAAGAGATGTAAAGAATTGTACATCAAAATGTAGACATATGCTGATACACCTATTTTTATTGAGCAGATACAGCTGTAATAAGCACAAATATACTTTAATATACATAAAAGAGTGACCATACAATTAGCTACTAAGGCCTTGATTTAATATTGTTGGACAAGGTTTCAAAATTATTATTTTGGGGGGATAAAATTCCCCCAAAAATGTTTTAAATATTAAAATAAAAAATAAAAAATATATACTATCTGCAATGGAGGGAGCTCACAGTGGGTGTGAGGGAGGAGCAGATGTAAAATATGCACATAATTGACCGTAGGCAGCCGAGCCAAAGTTACGGGGGTGCAACTAGCCCTTGGCACACAATTAACAATAACTCGGTATATGCAGTATTTCAAGCAGAAACACTGCACATACATACTCTTACCAACACGACCAATTCAAATCACTGAAGTGGTCAGCATAAGCCTTTAACCCCTTCCCGACCAAAGACGAAAATTTTCCGTCAAGCTTGTCCTTGTGATAAGGACCCTTGACAGAAAATTTCCGTAATTTACTAAAGTTAACCCCAGATTGCGGCGACCACAGGGTTAACGCTCATCCGGTCTGCCTCGGTATTCGAGGCAGACCGGGAGCACCTGATCGCGATGTCCCTGCATCCAGTGTGAAGTGTAGGGAGACGGATCACTGCTGATCTTCTTTTAACCCCTGAGGTTTAATTTTTTTTTTTTTTACCCTCATAAATATTTTAAAATTATATATTTAGTTAGCTGGGGTGGGTGGAAGTTAGTGGGGAATTTGGTGTTAGGCTAGCTAGGGGTTAACATTAAAAAAAAAGGTTTTTAAAAAATCTTTAAAAAGTTTAAAATTAAAGTTTTTTAAAAATGTTTTAATAACGTTTTAAAAAATCCCACCCCCTTTACCCAGTCCAAATAAAAATTAACCCCTTCCCTGCCAGTTGATCACTGCCTACAGTGATCAAAATACAGATCACAGTATTATACTGTGATCTAAGCTTTTTTTAACACCCGAGGATTAACTTTTATTTATTTTTTAGCCCTCAAGGGTTTAATTTATTTAATTAAAATATTTTAAAATTATATATTTTGCTAGCTGGGGTGGGAGTTATGCAAAAGTGGGGAATTTACTGTTAGTGCTGCTAACTGCTACTTAGGGGTTAACGGTAAAAAAAATTTTGAAAAAATGTTAACAGTGTAAAAAAGTTAAGAAAGTTTAAAAAATGTAGTAAGTAAAAAAAAGTTTAAAATTAGTTTTAAAAAGTAAAAAAAGTTTTAAAAAGTAAAAAAATACATTAAAAAAATGCTCATTACCACTACACCTGGAACATACTAGCCAAAAAATGATCCCACGCTAAGGTTCAAAATATGCCTTTTGAATAACCCCAGGGTGTATTCTTTAATAAATAGTATGTGTTTGTGAGGAAGTTTGAATAACCAGCCGCTAAACTACTCCAAAATGGAACATGGACATACTCGTTTTCCTGGCACTATAGTGCCCTGAGGGTGCCCCCACCCTCAGGGTCCCACTCCCGCCCGGCTCTGGGCAGAGAAAAGGGGTTAAAACTTACCTTTTTCCAGCGCTGGGCAGGAGCTCTCCTCCTCCGATCCTCCTCCTCTCCTCCCATTCGGCTGAATGCGCACGCGCGGCAAGAGCTGCGCGTGCATTCAGCCGGTCTCATAGGAAAGCATTTACAATGCTTTCCTATGGACGCTTGCGTGCTCTCACTGTGATTTTCACAGTGAGACTCACGCATGCGCCTCTAGCGGCTGTCAATGAGACAGCCACTAGAGGATTTGAGGGCTGGATTAACCCATTTATAAACATAGCAGTTTCAGAGAATAAAAAAAATGGGTTAATCCTAGAGGGACCTGGCACTCAGACCACTTCATTAAGCTGAAGTGGTCTGGGTGCCTAGAGTGGTCCTTTAACCCCTTAAGGACCAAACTTCTGGAATAAAAGGGAATCATGACATGTCACACATGTCATGTGTCCTTAAGGGGTTAAAAACCTAAAAAACCTTAATAACCAAGAAAGCACAGTAAATAAGATTGATTCCAAGAAAACTGCATAATAAATACAAATTGCACAATAAATACATATTACATAACAAATAATACAATAGAAAAACATTAACATTTTCCACAGTTTTGTCAGAATGCTGTATCTTCTATTTTTTTAAATTATTTAAAGTGACAGTAACAGACCTTAATAACCATAACAACTGTATGTAAGAGAGCATAATAAATACAATTATTACCAAACACTAACATGTTCTAAGAGAATATAAAAACCAGCGTATACGATAAACATATAGACTATAAAATCTTTGTGTGTATATATATATATATATATATGTATACATACACACACATACATACATACATACACACACACACACACACATATATATATATATATATATATACATACACACACACATATGACCTACTCAGGAAAATATAAAAACATAATTAATAAAATTAATAAAGAGAACATTCTTAAACTTATAAAAAGTTGAAAAGATCAAATTCTATATTGAGTCCTCTTGGCTCGAGAGTATCCAGCTTCTAAACCCATCTCATCTCCTCTTTCCCTATATCATTAATGTGGTTTCCTCCTCGCCAGGACTTATTAACTATTTTTATCCCTAGAAAAGTCAAACCTTCTGGGTTTTGATTGTGGTACTTTTTAAAATGGGCAGACACACTGTGATTTTTATAACCCTTTCGAATATTATTTACGTGCTCGTAGATTCTTTTATGCAAGGGACGGATTGTGCGACCCACATATTGCAGACCGCACGGACAAATGAAAAGATAGATGACATTCTTACTACAACAAGTGATAAAATCTTTTATAATAAACTCTTCATCCTTGTATTTTGTCCTAAACCTACTAATACCTTTAAGGGTCCTATTCTTACTACATTTGCAGCCCATACATAAACCACATGAATAAAAACCATTCCTTTCATTTAAAAAAGTTTTCTTTGTTTCTCTTTTTGGATGATTAAAACTCAACATCTGTTTAAAATTTGGTGCTCCTCTAAAAGTAATAAAAGGTTTATCAGGGAGAAGTTTGCATAGTTCATTATCTTTTTTTAAAATATGCCAATGCTTTCTAACTATTGATTTAATTTTATTGCAATCTATATTATAATCGAATACCAAAGGGATTTTTTTATTTTTGTCACTTGCATTCCTTTTCATATCCACAATTAAATCATCCTGAGCTTGTTTTAAAGCTTCCTCATTTGACTCCTCTATAAGTTCAGTGGGATACTTTTTTTCCAAAAACTTCTCCTTAAGAATATCTGCTTGATTTTTAAAGACCTCCACTTCTGTACAGTTTCTTCTAATTCTTCTAAATTATCCTTTTGGAATATTATTAAGCCAAGTCGTGTAATGTCCGCTATTGTACATTACGTAGCTATTGGCATCTACTTTTTTAAAATAATTCTTAGTTTTTAAAACACCATTTTCCACATAAATATTCAAATCTAAAAAGTTAATACTGGAGGTACTAAAATCACTAGTTAGGCATATTCTCCATTCATTAGTATTTAAATTACCTAGAAAATTGTTTAAAGCAACTTCTGAACCCTTCCATTTAAAAAACAAGTCATCTATATATCTACAGTAGGAGACCAGGTTTGTCCCCCATGCCTGGCTGGCATATATATACTTTCTCTCCCAACCTGCCATATATAAATTTGCATAACTAGGGGCAAACCTGGTCCCCATAGCTGTACCCTGACATTGCAGATAAAATTTGTTATTAAATAAAAAATAATTATTATTTAAAATCCATTTAATACTATCTACTAAAAAATCTACATGTTCATCCAATAAATCTTTAGACTCCATCAATGTGTCATATATCACTTTGCTTCCTAAAAAATGAGGAATGGAAGTATATAGCGAGGAGACATCACTAGTCACCAGGATATATGACTTTTCCCACTTGATATTTTTTATCTTTCTAATTACATCAGTAGTGTCTCTCACATATGAAGGCATTACTTTCACCAGCTCTTGTAGCCATATATCTACATATTTAGAGAGGTTGGCAGATACAGACCCTATCCCTGAGACAATAGGTCTGCCGGGGGGGTGTTTGGCGTCTTTATGTACCTTGGGAAGGGTATAGAAAGTAGGTATTCTAGGATATTCTTGCAGTAAAAATGTATATTCATTATCATTAAGAACACCACTTTCCTTCCCCTTATCCAAAAGTAATATGAGAGATTTTTTCATATCTTCAGTGGGATCACTATTTAATTCGCTATATACTTTTTTGTCCCTTAATTGTTTAAGACATTCTGCTACATAATCCTCTGTATCCTGTATAACTATACTACCACCCTTATCTGCTGGCTTTATTACAATTTCTCTATTATTCCTTAAATCTTGTAAAGCTTTCCATTCTATACTATTTAAATTATTTCTATTATATCTACTGGTATTTTGCTCTAAACTTTTAAAATCCTCAACCATCACTTTCTCGAATATATCAATGGCACTTGATTTATATGCTCTCGGGTAGAAGTTAGACTTAGCCATTAGATCAGTATGATTCAACTCAATCCTCTTATCTTGACATTTCTGAATTTCAAAAAACCTTTTTAATATCAAAGTTCTGGAATATTTAAGAATATCTATGTATGCAGAGAAGGAGTTAAACTTCCTAACGGGTGCGAACTTCAAGCCTCTATTAAGTACATTCCCCTCTGCTTCTGTTAGTTGATGCTTTGATAAATTGTTTACTCCCTCCAATTTAGCATCCTTCCTCTTTTTCCGGTATTGTAGCCTAACTCCTCCTCTGCATCCTCTGTATCCCTGAATCTCCTTCTTTTTAAGGGAGAGGGAATCCTGTTCCCTCGTTGTCTGTCTAAAAAAATCTTCCCTCCTAAGACTAGTATGCTCTTTTGAAAGAACCTCAAATCTGTTTTTTAATTCAATATCCTTATTCCTATATGGACGTACAGGACTAGAGTATGTTGTCCTGTTCCGTTTAAATTGTGTCCTTGGTTCTACTCTAGTCCATCTAGTATGTCTCTCACTCTCAGGAGTTTTCCAATTTGTTTGGAATACCTGTGATTGGTACTATTAAGTATCTCTCTTTTTTATGAATATGTGCATTAGTTTCTTTAAATTGTTGATTTTTCTCCTCATTTCTTTTCTTATGGTTATTGTTTCAAAAACTTCTTACTTGATTACATCTATAGTCATTCAAGTCCCTTTTGTACTTTTTAAATTTCACAGTTTTTACTTGTTCTTCCAGTTTTCCTAATTTTCCTTTGGTCTTATTACTTAATTCTTCATATTCCTTAGTGCCAACTGTTGGTTCTAAGGCTTTCTGGATCTCCCTAACTTCTTTATCTAAATCCCCCAAAGCATCCTTCCTGCATGATATCACGATACTCATCAGCTCTTTAGAAAATCTTTCTAGAGCATTATTTCAAACATCAATGTATTTTTGATTTTTCTCCTCATTTTCAAAGGTAGGGGATTTGAAAAAAACGTAGCCCTCTAGGAGTAATATTCTCACTCAAACACTGTTCTAGTGTAGCAATCTCCCATTTATATTTAATTTCTTTGGAGAGCTTGTTTTCAAGATTCATAAAAGTGACTTCTATGTCATCTTCTCTAGAACAAATTGCCTCATCTTTTTCAGGGGAATCAACGGAATTGAAATTGAATTGTATATTCTTTCTAAATTCAAAAATAGACATATTTTCTAAATAGCAGCCTTACTTGCTCTGAGCCAAAGAACCACAAGATAGAATATCAATAAACAAGTAAAAAAGGCGCTTAAATTATAATAATAGTGACCTTATTACACAAAGAAAACAGCACCTATATGTGTATTAGCTCATGAAACACAAAATAGAATACAAACAGAGAAAAAAATAAGTGCGCTAGAACAATTTTATATAAAGTGCAGAATTCCTCACAATATCAATAAAGTGAAAATAGTGCAAAAAACTCATTCCACTCTTTGAAAAGTGCAGTGTGCATATATATTCAGAGTGCTTAATGCAAAAAAAAAATTTGGAGCTATCTGAATTCTAAATACATTTTAAATTTTGTTTTACTAAAACAATATTTCACTATATATGGTTTTTGTATTTTATTCTCTTTTATGTATTATTTGCAACGGAGAGTCACTTTCAAATATGTGATTAAAGTAAGTGTACTCTATTGGATTTTTGTGCACAGATCACTTTAAAAAATATATTTTATTTTTTTTGTAAAATTTTATTTTAGTCCTTGTATTTTGTGACCTGTAACTTTCAAAATAAGCTGAAATCCTATACATATTATGTACGCTATAAATCAAGACACATAAATTAATTTATTTTGAATTACTTTTTCTAAGCTAGACATATTATGCACACGCCATTATAAAAAAAAAAATGTTTTGTTTTTTTCCCATTTTTACAAATAATTAATGAGAATTTATCTGTGTATATGTGAAATAAAATAAAAGCCCTCTTTGCCCTTTAAAAAATGGTATATAATATGTGTTGGTGCCAGTGGCGTACTCACGACCCATGGCGTTTACTCGGCGCGGGCCGGGGCCGCAACACATGGCGGCGGGCACCTGGTCGCAGGGCTGCGACCCCTGCGACCGCTGTATGTACACCAGTGCATGCAGATACACACACCCACTTAAAGGACCACTACAGACACCCAGATCACATCAGCTCAATGAAGTGGTCTGGGTGCCAGGTCCCTCTAGTTTTACCCCTGCAGCTGAAAACATAGTAGTTTCAGAGAAACTGCTATGTTTCACTGAGGGATAATCCAGCATCTAGTGGCTGTCTCACTGACAGTCGCTAGAGGTGTTTCCGTGATTCTCACTGTGAAAATCACAGTGAGAAGACGCTGGACGTCCATAGGAAAGCATGTGCATTCAGAGCTGAGAGGCGGATCGGGGCAGAGGCATCCCCAGCGCCAAGGGAGTCCGGCGCTGGAGAAAGGTAAGTGCTGAAGGGGTTTTAAACACACACACACACTCCCACGAACAGACGCATACACACTAGCTAACAGACACACACATTTACTGACAGAGAAACACTCAGCAACATACATACATACACACTCACTGACAGATAGACACACATACACACTCACTTACAAAACATACACTCTCACTGACAAACACACACTCACTAACAGACATCAAACAGACTCACTAACAGACACACAAACTAACACACTCAGTAACAGACACACAAAGTAACACTCACTGACACACACACACTCACTGACACACTGACACTCACTAGCAGACACACATTCAATAACAGACACACACAAAAACTAACACACTCACTGACACTCACTAGCAGACACACACAGTAACACACACTGACACAAACACTAACACACACACACTCTAACACTAATACACATACACAAACACATGTTTTTGTTTTGTTTTTTAAATGTGATCCTCCATCCTACCTTTGGGAGTGCTGAGGGGATTCCCTGGGGTGTTGCTGGGCGGCCGGTCCTGTGGGCGCGCGAGGGAGCACTGAGATCCTCCTGTTCAGCTCCTGTTCAGCTGGGCAGAGAGCGCTCAGGGGAGAGTGCTCCCTCGCGCGCCCGCATACACACAGTGGCAGAGGCGCATACACACACACACACAAACACTGACAGAGGAATACATATGTATGCCTCTGTCAGTGTGTGTGTGTGCATGCCTCTGCCAGTGTGTGTGTGTGCCTCTGTCAGTGAGTATGTGTGTATGTCTCTGTCATACACACACATTTTGTCACACACTCACAAATGTAAATTTTTTATTTTAATCCTCCCAGCCTTCCTACCTCTGGGAGAGCGAAGTGGATCTTTCCCTGGGGTGCATCGAGGTGGTTGGCTGAGGCAGCACGCAAGGGAGCAGTAATCTGCAGCTCCTCTCTGATCCCTGTAGTGATGCCGGGGCCGGAATGACGTCATATTTCAGCTCCTGGCATCAATATACAGCGCGAGGGAGCATAGAGGAGCTGCAGGGAAATTAATGCTCCATCGTGTGCTGCCTCAGCTGACCACTTTGATGCACCCCAGGGCGTGCGGCCGGCTACAATGCCTCCATGCAGCCCAGGACGGACGGCTACAATTCTCCCTGAGCTGGCCACCTCCATGCAGCCCAGGATGGCTGGCTACAACTCTCCCTGAGCCGCCTGCCTCCATGCTCCAGTTTGCCCAGCTTTAGGTAAAGGGCTGGCAAACCCCGGGCGCCAGGGCGAAATTTATAGTCACCCTAGCAATCTGGCATCTGGGATTTGTCAAGCCCTGTTTTAGTAGAAAAAAAAAATATATATATATATATATATATATATATATAAATATATATATATATATATATACATATACACATACATACATACATACATACATATTACTCATTTTAACCCATACCATGCTGGTCAAAATGGTACTATTGTGATTAGAGTCTCTGATCAGACCATTGACTGATAAACCTTTTCTGTTAAACTTACGATCGGTCAGTTATTTTCTTGTTTTGGGACTCGGTGTAGGGTTCTATTTGGGTGGAAGTCGAAATTGGGGGTGGTTGAGGGAGTTGGTGTTAGGCAGGTAGCAGTAAACAAAAACAAAAAAGATGTCATGGCCCATTATTATTTAGTATGTCTTTCTAACACATGAAACAGAGGCTAGTGATACCAAAGATATATCTGATAGTGACTTCAGAAATAGAGCCTCTAAGTGAGGCTTCTAGTAATGGTGTTACAGTGTTACTGCAAGAAGATGTTCAGAACATTCCACTGTATCTGAGGAAAACTGAGTACTTTCAAACTAAACTGCCCTTAAATACCTCCTGGCATCACAACCGGTGTTGAAACCATTCATAATGGACGGCACAAACATTTGCAAGCCAACCGATATATTTTACTGCCAATCCTGGATCACACCACGGCAATGTAAACACCTCTGATCACACTGAATGAAGAGGTTTTGGGCACTGGTGATATTTATGGAGAGTGTAAAAAAATAAATAAATAAAATAACCAGCATTCATAGTTTCTGGCACAAGCACCTTATCGAGCTACCCCTCTTTTTCCATTGATTATGAAAAGGAACAGATATGGGCAACATCTCAGTTTCCTACATTTTAATGAGAATGCCCAGTGCCAGGGCTGGCGAGGGAGCTCTGATCCATATGTGTATTGCCTGCATAGTTCCCGCATGCGCTCTATAGAGGTGATGGGAGACGAAATGTGACATCACATTGGTCCAGGCATCCCTACAGGGCACACAAGGGAGTTTCTCAGTCAGAGCAGAGAAGCTCACACTGGACCCCAGGCTGAGAATCCAATCCAATTCTCATAGATAGTTAGACTGGATGAATCTAAACTCCTGAAAACAAAAAACATTTTTTGAGCACATATGTGAGAATGTGTAGGTGTGTGATGTCTGTGAGGATTTGATTGTGTCTGTTGTTGTGTGTTTTTCAGTTTGTTTGACTGTGTGTTTATGAGACCCGACACGAAAAACCCTATCTGTCACAATACCACCACAATACTGCCTCTATCAGCGCACACTATGCTTCATCCCCCACAATACTGACCCCATCACTCCACAGTATATCCCCAACCCCCACAATACTACCTCTATACCACCACAGGAATGACCCTATCCTCCCCCCACAGTAAAGCCTCTATCCCCTACAATACTGCCCCTACCGCTCCATACTTAAAGGTCACCCAGACCACTTCAGCTCAATGAAGTGCTCTGGGTGCCAGGTCCCCCAGGTTTTAACCCTTCAGATGTAAACATAGCAGTTTCAGAGAAACTGCTATGTTTACATTGCAGGATTAATCCAGCCTCTAGTGGCTGTCTTCCTGACAGTAGCTAGAGGCGCTTCCCCGACGCTCAAGGTGAAAATTGCATTGAGCACGCAGAACGTCCATAGGAAAGCATTGACCATGCGCATTCGGCTCCACTCGGGAGCTGACGTCGGAGGGGTAGGAGAGGTCACCAGCGCTGAGGGAGCCCAGAGCTGTATAAAGGTAAGTGGCTGAAGGGGGTTTAACCCCTTCAGCCCAGCGGGAGGAGGGCACTGAGGGTGGGGGGGACCTAAGGACAGTATAGTGCCAGGAAAACGCAGTCTCCACCCACTCTGGACCCAAGACCAGGGTCCAGCTTCCAGTAGGTCGACCTCTCCGAATTCCAGCGAGCAGGAACAGGAACAAGCTCTTAGCAGAGCTTAGTGATCATATCCTGGGGAGTATAGTGATTATAGCAATCCCCAGAGTGTAGTTCTCCAATCCCCCAAACATGAGCCGAAACTTCATGAAGGTACAAGATGATCTGACTCCAATGAGCGTTTATTACTCCTTATATACAAGTTTTCAGGCCAGGGGCACACCCCCTGGACCTGGTGGTAAACTGTGACAAAAGGGACACAAACCAATGGGAACACTAATTAACATAATAACACAATTAAATCCCTCCTATCCATCCTGGAGATAATTGGCTTAAGGCACTGCAGTAAACTCAATTATCTCCAGGTACAGAAAATATCTACATTTTACATTAACAAAAAAAATACGTAAAAGTACATAAAAATACATAATTCTTATTATATTACACAGAACCCCCACATTTATGAGTAAATTTGTCATGGGGTAAAGCATAGCAAGGGCTGTTGAGAAACCAAGGAGGGACAAAAGCAGTCAGTTCCAACTGGTTTGGCAGTGTGCCTGGGACAACGCCCTGCTGGAGAACAATAGACAGGAAACTGGGGAGGGGAAAAAACACACCTTCCCATGGATTCAAATGGGCAGAAACAGTCTTTAGAAGCCAATAAGCCCCAAATAGTCTTTTTAAATTGCAACACACCTCAGGGCCATAGTCATGAGGAAGGAGGCTGGCAATCAGGCTCCTCCAACAGCCGGGGGCAAAGGGCAGCTTGTCACCTAACAATCTAGTGACAAAAGGCATTTCATCTCAAGTATCTACACCATCTACACCAAACAACTGAAATCACTAGATTTGGAATACCCTGTGTGTTGCCTAATTTTGCAAATGGCATGTCATAACGTGGGTTATTTTCTTTACTGGGCTGCCATACTGTCTCAAAGGCCATTTAGACCCAGAAAATTAATTTGACCATTTCATGTATTCAGACTGAAATGAGCACGTGCCATATTTAGCCCTGCAACTACAAAAAATAAAAATAATAATAATACCTGTACATTGTAGGTTATTCTTGTACTCTTGGGACATCGCTGAAGAGAAATATGGGTAGTGTATTGCAATAAAACATATAAGGGTGATCATGACATCACCAACAGTGAGAGAACAGTGCTTGTGTGAAAAACGCAAAATAAAAATATGAACACTATATTTGGCCAGGTTTTGTGACTAAGTGGCAGTGGCGTACCTAGGGTATGGCAGATATAGCATGTGTCCTTTGCCATGGTCTTCACTGAGGCAGTTTGTTTTATTCTTAGCCCTGCCGCGGACAAGCAGCATAGAGACTCAGAGGCTGCTATGTATGAGCTGAGTTGACACAGTCAGGGACATGCAAATATCTAATCTGATGCCTCACTGGAGATCTTGTACAGCTGGAAATTCAGTGAGGAAACAGATGAGATGTTCGGATATACTGGTACTGGACTGACTTTATATTGTGCGGTAGGAACAGAGGAGTATTGAGGGGCGAGGGGCAGATGGGGGCAAATGTGGTGGGGAAGCAGGGAGTCTGATCGTGGTGGGGAAGCAGGGAGTCTATGTATATTTATTTATTTTCAGTTTAAAAATTTTCTTCATATCTGTATATCTGCTGGCTATTCTGACACAAAGCATTGTAGGGTTGCTATGACATTGTTACAGGAAATCTAGAACACAAACTGCTCTAGAACTTGCATCAGTGAATTCTGATTCTGATACCAATGTATTGTTTTCCATGTGTGAGTAGCAGATGCCATAAACAACGCTGCTGGCTTTGGATTTAATGGGATATCTGAGGACGGAACAGAGAGATGGGATTTGCTGTCCAACCTGGATATAGTAAAAATTGAGGTTAGTGATCAATTTAAAGAGATCAGTTTCTAAATATGTTATCCTTTAATAATTCTGCCTACTTCTTAAATTCCTATTTCTTTCACTCTCTCAGACAGCTACAAGTTTCAAGGTGTTCATTGACAACTGGAATATACAAACAGCGATTTGGCTAAAAGAGTTAAGTACCAATTCTATGGGTTTCTGGATCCTTCACAATCTCAGTCATAATACCGCTTATTGACAGGGTTTCTGTTCAAAATGGCTGCTCTAAAGATCCCAATGCTTCATCCCTAATAATTATTATTATTTAAATAGTGCCAACAGATTCTGCAGAGCTGTACAATGGGTAATAAGACTCTATCATTAATGTGTGGTGTAAGAGAAGTGGTTTCATGCATAGTTTAGTAGCCAAAGCTTAAAGGAACACTATAGGTCAGGAATACAAACATGTATTCCTGACACTATAGTGTTAAAAAATCCTGTTAGCCCTTCCGTCCCCCGTAATAAGGTAGAAAATTCAATTTTTTTTAGCATCGCACGGGCCTGCGGCGCTGGCCCCACCCCAGATCTGCCTCCTTGGCTGAGATTGTCAATTCTGATGATCTCAGCCATGGAGGTGGAATGGGGGCTGAGCCAAACACAGTGTTGGCCAATCAGCATCTTCTCAGAGAGATGCATTGAATAAATGCATCTCTATGAGGAAGATTCAGCCCCCAGGAATCACCTATAGTGGCCATCTGAGTGACTGCCACTACAGCTATCCATAGGGAGCAATGAAAACACTGTCTTTTTTCTGAAAAGGCAGTATTTATAGCAAAATGCTTGCAGGGCCTGACTATATTCCCCAGAGCAACGACATTAAGCGGTAGTTGTTCTGGTGACTATAGTGTCCCTTTTAATACCTAGTTCATTTACACCTATTCCATCAGTCCTAAAGGCAATTTGCCTATAAGCTCATATACCAACCTGAAAAGTATGTTTAACACTCCTTTCATTTGCAGGGTTTGCTATGACCGGATCCCATTTAGCCCGCTGTTTGCCACATTCATACTGTCGGCATTCTGGCATGGTGTACATCCTGGATACTACCTCACTTTCTGCACTGCTATTCCAGTTTCATTAGCTGCTCGCAGGGTGAGTAAAGTATTTGCCATGGTAGACATCCTATGGTAAGATTCAATAATGCTGTCCACATGCATACACTGCCACACGTAACATACTGAATGTATGTGTGTGCACATATATTTTAGCTAAATAAATCATAATGAGTTAAACAAACAAGATACAACAATGCATTCATTCATACAAATGGTTGTAACTAAAGTTTTCTGATTATCAGACACACATGACAATTTGGGTAACAAGAGAAACAGGTTTGTTTGAAGAAGTAAAGAGTAGCTAGAAAAATATCAAGGAAATACTAGTGTGTGAGAAGGACGGGGTTCCTGGGTATAGAGCTGTTTTTATTTAGGGAATTCTCATTTTAGCCAATTACTGAGACAATTTTAAATGCCTATATTGGATTAACCACTGAGTGCCCAGACCTTTGCTTCTGATATATCCTGGATTTGAGGTTGTCCAACTTTGGTCTGTAAACCACCTTGGGAGGAATCCAACAAAATACATGTTCAGCCCTTACATTTTGTTCAGTCTCTTTATGACTTATGGCATGGCAATAACTGAACTAAACAAGGAGTTTGGGATGCATGGCATGCAGTCTGTAGTTATAAAGGATTAAATAGCTAATTATTTTCTTTTGCTTGGCCAGGTGAGGAGTACTATACGACCGCTGTTCCAAGGCACAGCGATGAACAGAGCTGTATATGATGTGTTAACCTGGCTATGTACGCAGATAACAATGAGTTACACTGTGGCTCCCTTTCTTTTGCTTGAACTTGGGCAGTCACTGGAGCTGTACAGGTAAGAATCACGGGCCCATTTTTACCTCTGATAATTTGGGAGTGGATCATTAATTAAATAATTTAATAATGTAAAAAGCACACATCTTTTTTTTTCAAATAAGTTACTATGGTTAATGTGCAAACTGCAATGAGTGGTTGGTAGTGTTTAATTGCTTCTGTTACAAACCAGTCAGGGAACAATATTCAGTACTGCATGAATGCAAATTGTAGCTAAAGCAGACCACAGATCAGTTCAGTTCACTGCTGTGTGTAAGATAAAAGATTTATGACCAAGCTAATTTTCATTAAAAAACTGTCATATCATTTTTTCTTGCAGATCTCTCGGCTTCTGTCTACACATTCTCCCTGTTTTGGTGCTTCTAATATTGCCTAAGAATAGGAAACCACATATTGCAGACAAGAACGTCAACAAGACAGTTTGTGACCGAAACTACAACCATATGAAGAAGCAAAACTGAAACAAATCTTGCATTGTTTATGATGCAGATATGTAAACTGTCTTTTGTACTGCTTTCTACTGATCCTTATTACCATTCAAACATCACTCTCTACCAACCATGGACAAGCCTCAGTCCACAATATGTCACCAAACATTACAGACCTAAAAAAACTTAAAGGTCTCAATCAGACCTAGGGACAAGAAGTAAGAAGCGACAAAGAAAGATGTATCTGTCACCAACCAGACAATGATGCCTTTACTGGTGAAAGATGTATATAGCAATTATTTAGCTAATAATTGTTTAGATATTTATTTTTAACAATAATCACAATAGCACATATTTTTATACTTTACTGTTGGTTTGTGGGGTTTTTTTTGTTCCTTTTTTAAGTAAGCCTGGAGCTTATCATGGACAGATCGTCCACTAGCCAAATTAAACCAATTTCCAGAGAAACTGACTAGATGCCTATCTTTAAAAAATATATATATTTAAAGGAATGTCCATCTCTTGACATTTTTTTAACCAGTAAGCAAACACTTTAAAACAAATATACAAACTAAAATATAGCAAGAAAAATTGAAAGTATGTAATAAATGTTTACAAAGGTTCTATAAACTTGGTCAAATTGCACTGTTGGGCATGCCGGTCAGCTATAAGAGTTTCTTCTAACCCTGTTACCTACCCATCTCCAGGGCTGGTTTTCCTTGTCAGATAGGCACAAACTTTTAAGGCTCCCCTGCTACCCAACCAAAAAAAAGGCATATAAATCAATATAATGAATGTATTAAGTGGACATTGCAGGCCTAAAAGCCATCTAAAAACAAACATATTCATATTTGACAACTGCATATGTATAAATGTAAAAAAACTAAAAATATGTATTTATGAATTTGCATATTCCTATTTGTAATTTGTTGTGTATTGTGTTTGAATCTGTGAGGAAAGCAAGTAAATGCATGCAGGGTTAAAGATAAAGTTAGAAGTAGTTAGGGAAAAGAAGGGTTTAAGGTTAAAGAGGGTTTGATTACATAAGGTAAGGTTAAGAAGACTAATAGCTAGAGAGTAGTATAGTAGTATAAGGCAGCGTTTTCGAACAAAATTGGGGTACTGCTGCGATTTGCCCGTCGGGTGGCCCAAGCATTTAGGGCCACCCAATAAGTATTGCTAAACAGGAGTCCGGTCAGGCGCCGAGGTCATCTAAAACCACAACTGGACCCCTGTAGTATCGGATGCTGGGAAGAAGTGACAGCACGTCTTCCCAGACAGATCGCGCAGGCAGCTGGAGGGAGAGAGGGAGAAGCAGGGACTGAGCAGCACACCAGGCTCAGCCAGCAGTACTGAACATCCTCCTGCAGAAAAAAGGTAAGTGAACAGCAAATTTAAACATATGTGTATGTACCTGTGTCAGTGTGTGTATCTCCCAATGTGTGTGAATCTGTGTGTGTATGTGCCAGTTTGTGTATCTGTGTGTATATGTGTGTCAGTGCATCTGTCAGTGTGAGTATGTGCCAGTGTGTATGTATGTGCCAGTGTGTGTGTATCTGTGTGTCAAGGTGTGTGTATCTGTCAGTATGTGTATCTGTGTGCCACTATGTGCCAGTGTGTGTGTGTGTGTGTGTGTGTGTGTATCTGTGTGTCAGATACATACACACACAGATACACACTGACACACACATACACACACTGGCATATACAAACACAGATACACACTTTGACACATAGATACACACACCTTGGCACACAGATACATACACACTGTGTGATACATACACACAAACACATAAAAAAAACAGATACACACTTTGACACACAGATACACATTGTGTGTATCTGTGTGTCAAGGTGTCTGTGTATGTGTGCCACTATGTGCCATTGTGTGTATCTGTGTGTCAGATTCATACACACTGACACACAGATACACACATTGGCACATATATACATACACAGATACACACATCTTGATACACAGACACACACCGGCACATACAAAAAAAGGTTTATTCAACAGCGCAAAAAAAAAAAAAATTTATGGGGGGGAGGCCACAATGTTGATACTATGTCAAAGGGTTCCTTGGGAAAAAATAATTGGGAACCCCTGGTATAGTGGGATTAAATTTTGCATTTAGGTACAATGGCTGTTTTATGATTATTGGATTTAGGGCTAGAGATTTTCTTTTGGGGTGCAGTGTTTAGTTTTGTTAAGAGGAGTTAAACATAAGATTAAGGTAAATTGTTTATTTTCAGGCTCAGGCTTTGATTGCTGGATTTTGAAGGGTTATATGTAAAGTACTGACCCATCCTATGTCTTCTGTAGAGATGTCAGCTTTCTATGGAGTGTTTATACAGTGTGTACCACCGACAGCTTCCCCTGCTCCTCCTGCAAGGCACCCGTGTGTGTGAGAGGCTGTTAGTGGGCAGATGGGAAATGATCACTTCCACTTCCTGTCCAGCCTCACACACAGACACTGGATTACCTGGGATAGCACTGACGTTTTCACCCTCTAAAATTGTTATGTAAGCACCCAGACCACTTCAGCTCATTAAAGTGGTCTGGGTGCAGTATCTCAGTCCCACTTAGTCCTGTAATGTAAATTATTGCAGTTTTTTTGAGAAACTGCCTTTAGTGCCTGTCAATAAGAGGGCATCCAGCGTCAGCTAAATCCCTATCCTTAAACTCCTAGAATTCCTTTACAGCTGACTGAACGATAGAGGACACTGTCCAAGGCTCCTGGTACTTACCTCTCCCCACCAGCCTATATAAACTCAAAAAGGCACATTATAAGTGACTAATGGGAAAACCACCCAGGGATAGGACACTGATTGGTTAGATCAGTGTGCCACCTGGAGTGAGTGTGGGAAGCATAAGGATGACGAAGACTTTTTTCAGTCTGCAGAATGTTTTTTCCCCTTCTTTTTTCAGTCTGCAGATTGAGGCAGCTGTGTCATTCTAATCTGGTCTCCAGGTGACCAGCAGGAGAGGAGTGCACTGCACAGCTTTCCCCTCCTGCTTGTCACAGCATGTAGCTTGGCCAAGCCACGGTAGCAGACCTTCTATATGCCCTACCCGGTCTGACAGAAAGTGCACGCAGGGTGTGCTGAACTGCTTTTGTCAGACCAGGGAAAGGTTACAGCAGCTCCTCTTCCATGGTCCGCGACTCAGGCACGCCACAGGGAGGTGGGCACACAGAGGACTGGGGTTGGGGGAGAGGCACACAAAGGGCTGAATGGGGAGAATAGGAACATAGAGGGTGGAGATGAAAAAAGAGGCACACGGATTGAAGGGAAGAGGCCCATAGAGGGCTGAGATTAGGGGCAGGTACACAGGGCTAAGGAGGGAGGAGAGGCACCCAGAGGGCTGGGGGAAGAGATGCACAGGGCTGAGGGGAGGAGAGACACACAGGGGACTGCAAAGGAAGAGAGGCACAGAGTACTGAGGGGATAAAGAGACACACAGTCAGGCTGGGGGGACAAAGACACTCACACAGGTGCTGGGTGAAGAGACAGAAGTTAGCTCACTCAGCATGTTGTAGCCTGTTACTGTAGCGACCGGCTGAAATACTCACCGCTTTCACCTCTCCTACTCTCTTGCTTATTCTCTTATCTTCCTATTCACTTAATTCATTGAGTTAGCTCACTCAGCATGTTGTAGCCTGTTACTGTAACATTGTGCATATGTTCTCGACTACCCCATCTGTAAAATGTAATAATGTGCCTGAGGATTGCCGTTGGTGTACCTCAAGGTTGCTTGTACTTTTCTTCTGCACTCCAAAAATACAAAACTAATTTTTTTTTTAAAAAAGGTATACATATCAAAAATCCATGGTATCACGCTGTCACAGCAGCCCTCATATCACACAAAAGCAAAATTGTGCGCTGAAGTGACATGAATTTCCCAGCAAGAGTGAAAAACAAGGTATGAAATAAATCAAATATTCCTAAAATATTATATTGTTGTATTACCTGCAACTGTGGGAGAGGGGAGAAACCACCCAGAAGACTACCCCGGGAAAAAAAGTGTGAAAGCCCTAGACGGTTTTTCACCTTCCCTGATGCTTCTCAACTTGAGAAGAGAGAAAAACATGGTAGAAAATAAAGCAAATATTCAGAAAATAATAAATTGCCATACTACCAGCAGATTCAGATGGCCAGGTGTGGCAATTATACAAGTGCCAGACAGGGGAATTGAACTATGCTATAGTCCTGCTATCTTGCTTCTGAGCCACACATCAGTTCTTGACTTGGTATCCAGGGCCGGACTGGCCCACCGGGATACCTTGAAATTTCCCGGTGGGCCGTCGGCACCTGGGGCCTGGGCAGACACCTGGGTCTTCTGGCGGCCGCTGGGGGAGGTCTTCTGGCGGCCGCTGAGGGAGCTGTGCTGGCTCTGCTCCCCAGCGCGCAGCTTAATGAGACCGGTGCCGGAATATGACGTCATATTCCGGCCACAGTCTCATTCAGAAGGGCGGGAGAGCAGAGCCAGCGCAGCTCCCCCAGCAGCCGCCAGAAGACCTCCCCCTGGCAGGTATTAGTAATGTGTGTCAGTGTGAGTTTGTCTGTCTGTTATGGTGTGGGTGTCTGTCTGTATGGTGTGTGTCTGTCTGTCTGTGTCATGGTGTGTGTGTCTGTCTGTCTGTCATGGTGTGTGTGTGTGTGTGTGTCTGTCTGTCTGTCATGGTGTGTGTGTGTGTCTGTCTGTCTGTCATGGTGTGTCTGTCTGTCATGGTGTGTGTGTCTGTCTGTGTCATGGTGTGTGTGTGTCTGTCTGTATGGTGTCTGTCTGTCTGTTATGGTGTGGGTGTCTGTCTGTATGGTGTGTGTCTGTCTGTCTGTGTCATGGTGTGTGTGTCTACTGACTCCTAGTATTGAGTATTGACTATGCTTTGTCTTTGATTAGGTTATATTATTTGCATGTATTGTATCTGTAAAGTCTTATCTATGCTGTGATTTATTGATATATAATTTGGATACCTGTGATTTTGTACTCATATAATAAAGTACTTTATATTTAGTTGGTTGTGCTTCCCATTCATTAGTATTGTCTTTATTTATAAGCCTTTGGAAATAAGGCTTCAGAGTGAGCACCCTTATCTCTGTATTTTATGTGTTTACATTGATGTGTCGTATATGGCTGTTTGTCAAGTGTGCCTACCTGTTCTTTATTAAAGCATATTAATGATTAACATAATTTAAGATGGTGTATCTGGACACTATATTACCTTATACTGAGGCTCCAAGCCTGGCACCTATGCATCTCAGCTTCCTTCCTTTCTGCATTGTACGATGAGGAAGGTTTGCCAGGTGGCCAGATCAGTGCGTGTTGCAGAGGATAAGTGAAGCAACATTTTTCATTTGATGTCATGAGACAATGAGTACTGAGGAAGTTCAAGAGGGAGGGAATTTCAGTAGTCAGAAGATCTGAAATTCACTGGCACCTTGTGATTTTAGCAGTCCTGTCCTCCTATATAGACATATGTGGAACTTATCTGAATTTGTTAGTATTATAGCCATACTAAATGCGTGAGGCATACTTCTCAAACTGACCTTTGAAGAAGACTTTAGCAAGGCTTGGTGAGGAGTTTTCATGGTTCTATTCTCCATCCCCCTTTATATATCCATACTGGGGGCAACTGGACAGTAGGAAACATGCATCAACTGAATACTGTAGACCATCCTTAAAATCCCCCCAGGTATGTTGTCATAACCATATTAAATCTACATTTCATGGAGGCACTCCTCATTCTGGATGGTCTGTGGGGACAGCCCCTAACCCTAAAATTGTGTTCTGAGTGCCTGGCCAGGTTAAAAAAAATTTGATACTATAACAAATGTCCACTTGGGCTAGGGCTACTGCAGGGTCTAAACATTTATGTCAAAATGGATGCATATTGGTCCGCACACATAGATAATCCAAAGTAATCCACAGAAAAATTGTGAATATGAAAAAAGTGCAGATTTATTGATAAAAAAGGTATACATGGGGGGCGGTGCCTGACACTCAACATGGCCGGAAGCACTTCTCAATAGCTCCGGCTCTCCAGCCTGAAACGCCCTACAGCGACGCATAAACCATCTTGGTCTTGCTGCAGACAGACACTATAGCTCCAAGAACTGTCTTAAGCCTAAAGTGTAACTGACTGACCTTGTATGTGAGCTGCGGCCTAGCATACCCGGTAATTGTAGGAAGCGGCCAATCACCCGACTCGGCAAGCACACCTGGCTGTGGCTTTTCTGCAGCCCCATCACCCACCACACTGGACCAGTGGGGGTTATCCCGGTTTCCACTAGAAAGTGGACTCTCTCACTTATGTTGCAGCACCAGCACCAAACTGCACTGAGTTCCATGCGTTCAAGATAGCGGACGACTCCACTTACTGTAATACACGAAGCACTCGCACTGAGCAATCATCACACGAGTCTGCTGCACTATCGCTGTGGCGACCGGCTGAAATACTCACCCGCTCTCACCTCTCCTACTCTCGTGCTTATTCTCTTATCTTCCTATTCACTTAATTCATTGAGTTAGCTCACTCAGCATGTTGTAGCCTGATAAACTGTAACATTGTGCATATGTTCTCGACTACCCCATCTGTAAAATGTAATAATGTGCCTGAGGATTGCCGTTGGTGTACCTCAAGGTTGCTTGTACTTTTCTTCTGCACTCCAAAAATACAAAACAAATTTTTTTTTTTTT